AGCAACTATGAACTTTTATCATTCAAAAGCGGCGGAGAATATTTTAGTAAAGCAGTCACGGAAGTAGTCTGCCGAAAATCGATGAATAGGCCTATAGTGATGGCATGAAGGGGATATTGATGGTATGCCTCCTGATGTTTGACAAGTTAGACGACACAGGTATAAATACTCGCTTTGGTCCACCAACCATGCATTGCGATACATATTGAGACAACATAAGGGGAACTTTTAAGTGATCTACCGGGGAAAGACTGGGGCCGTTACGTATACCTCCATGGTCTATTCCTTTCTCCATGATACCCAGTAGCGGATCTTCGGGGGGGGGGGGGAGGTTGCACACCTTCCCCCGTTCAGCCGCTGACTAGTGTCATGAAACTAGTAAAATGAAGTCCAAAATAAAAACTGGAATGCTAAAGTTCCTTTCTAAATTCTCAAATTACCAGAATATGTAGGAGAAAGCATCGTTAAAAAAAACAATCCCGGGGCAAGCCCCCAGTACCCTGCAGGACGTCCTAAGGCGTGTTACTCAACCCCCCCCCGCCTCCCGGTTTCCTGAAAGCAAGATCCGCCCCAGGTACCTCGGATTATTTCACAGCTCACAACCAAATTGATTTAATTGAATAAGCCAATGCAATCTGGGTTCAACCTATACATTTACACACCAAGATATTACACACAAGTTATTTAATGTTGATCATGAATGGTTTCATTGTTTTGTCAGTGATAAATAAATTGCAGTACAATGAAGTGCAAGCGTGGTTAAGGACTACATAATTTTCCAATACGTCACGGTCCATTCTACAGGGCGAGTAAAAAAAAACTAAACCCAAATGTCGGGGCCATTGTTTTAGTGAAGTTGTGCATATAGCACTTTCAAAATCTAGGATATAAAAGCCCAATTCATAATTAAGCTTTCTTTTAGTACAAGAATCATTCAAATCACTCATGTACTTTTCAAGTTACGGAGTTTTAAACACAACCGCCGTTTTAAGGTTCTGTCCACGGATAAGCTGGGCGTAAAGTGCTGAATAATACTTTGTTAAGTGATGCTCGTTTTGACATATGTGATGTAGGACGTGAGCGCAAGTGCGTTTCTTGACAACTATAAAAAAAATATGTTGGGTAAAACATTGTTGGGCAATGTAATTTTACAACATTGGTTTGAAATTACCCCATTAATTGTGGGTTGATTTGGGTAAAAAATGTCCAGCTATTGGGAAATATTTGCGCAAGAGTTTAACCTGTTAATATGTTGACTAGCACTGGTCTACATATCAACCTAGTTTGCCCAACGTTTGATGTATGAAAATGTGTCTTGTTGCACAATGTGAAAATAAGCCTGACCAATTTTCTTGCAATCATAGTTGACCGTTAAATGTAAATAAACGTTGGTGAAAAGCCAGTAACCACTTTATGAGAAGGTATGAGAGACACTCGACCAATGTTGTTGAAGTAAAGTTGACCATTAATTAATTGAGTAAATGTTCCATGTATTGGTCAAAGCCAAAATGCCATCGAATTGTGTAAGTTAATTAATTTGACCAATAAAATGGATATTATTAATTGACCACCTAATTGGGAAAGGATGTCTGATCATCAGCTGGCAATCTTTGTTTTACTCATCTTCTGGTCGAAATTGCCTGCCAATGACAGTTGGTCAATGTATAAGTGACCAAAAGATGGGAAGTTGATATTTACACCAATTTAGGGCAAGAAGTTGCACATAAAATTTCCGCTGCAGTGTATTATATTTTGTTCATTGGCGACTCGGCCATAATGGTTATATTTTGTTCAATGGCGACTCGGCCACAATGGTTCGATTAACCATGGAGCTATTAAACACATTTTTCCGGGTGAAACTCGGAAATAGCACATACAGTGCAACTTTGACTGGATTCGGTTTGTTGTTAATTGCAAAATTATCAGTTCACGCTGTATTACGTGATGACCAAAGAAATGTATAAACAGAACAGAACTCTCGGAAAGGCAGGGCTACTCAAGTCATAAAAAGACCTTGTGTTTTTTTCTCTCTTCAGTTGCACTGGTGAGATGTGCACAGTTGAGGACATGAACCGAATGACAAAATATCAATTCATATTTGCCTTTATTCAATCACGGCAAGACATTATTACATTATATACACTCCCTTCGTAAACAGTCTATTAAAAACCATTTCTTTGAAATCATTTCAGATCCAAAAACATTTCATGCAGTCTGGGTAAGCAAGTACAATTCAGACTTAAAAAAAAACAATTTCAAGTATCATGCGCATTGTAATTTAAAAACAAAATCTATAACTTCAAAACCGGTACCGTTATTCACGATCCCAATTCAAAAGCAATACCAAATCTTAAGAACATTTAAGACTTTCCAAAAATGTGGATTTTTTTTCACCAAAACCCCCCCAGGCTTTTAGAAGTTTTAAGTTCAAGTTTAAGGGTGAAATTTAGGTTGTTGAAAAATCCAGATGTTCGGCCTATTTGCAATTTCTAAATGAGGTTAATGCATGTCTCTGTATACGAGGAAAGATTTGAAGGCAGTCCAAGCTGCAGATACAACTTGTCCCATGAATGTAACAACAGTCATTTTAGAATGCGAACTTTCATAAATATTAATGCAAACAAATGGAAAATAAATTAAAAAGCACAAATCCACAGAGAATGTTGTGAAAAAAAACCTTTAAAACTCTTCAAATTTTTTTTAAAATAATTTCATTCTAACTTTACTGAATGTGATCTGGATTTAAATTCGAAATGATTAATATAAACATGTTTAAACGTGTGAACATGAGAGAAGAAAAGCACAGAATAATCCAAGGATTAAAAATATCTTACACAATAAGAATATACTTAATCACCAAGATATGATCTGAAAAAAAATACCTGATAATAATCTTCATTCCATTCATTAACTTAATACTTTAACATGTACCTCTCAGCAAATTCAGTAAAATCTTTTAACAGAGTTTACCTTAATATACAGTATCATTAATGATGAAATATTTAAAGCACATTCTTTATATGTATGAGTATGATAGAAGGATATTGACTGGCCTTACATTATACAGTCATGTATTCCTACATCTGCATTCACATTACAAAGATCAGTTTGAGACTCATAAATTTCGAAAGTTTTTTTGGTCAGAAAGTATGTACAGTTTACTGGTAGCAACAGACAGGCTGAAGGTTATTCATAAGGCTGAAGCTGATTTAGTGTGGACAAAAAAACCTTAAGTTCCTGGTTACAAAGTTGATCAGCATATACAGTCGAATCTCGTTAGTACAAACTCTGTTAATACAAAATCCTGGTTATAACAAATATAAAGCCTTAGTCCCGACTGTGCATTTATGTGCAGTTGTGCACAATGAATGGGACTGATGTTCCTCTTAATACAAAATTCGGAAAGATTTCCATACACGAAGTTCACTCAACACCCTGTGTACAAACCCTATGAGATTGGACTGAAAAATTCTAAGTGTTTTCTAAGAAAATGCTTGTATTTTCTCACTGCTCAAATTGACTTTGATGACATGAAATTGCTATCTGGGGGATTGTTATTCAATACAGAGGAAAATTAGTGAACTTCGTATATGGAAATCTTTCCCAAAATTCTGATAAAACAAACAATTTGGCTAGGTCCGAATGAGTTTGTATTAACCAGACTCAACTGTATACTGTTTTTCCCATAGGCTCATGAATGTCCTGTAACCCCAAAACTCATGTGTGGACTTTGCGATCACTTTTGATCTTTATACTGTCGCTGGTATATTTTGTTAACAGCATAGCTTCTTGCTGAGTGTCCCTTCTTGCATGCATTTGGATGAAAATTCCCAGTGTTGTGTTGACTTCAATGGACTCAATAGGCCAGATACAAAGTACAGTGCATGAACAGTGAGCTAAATACTCAGGCGCCCTCAAGCATTTCACTACTGCCGTCTGGTTTGTCTACAGAAGACCAGCCGCTCGAGTTCCAAAAAATCACAAGTATCTATAACAACGCAACAAGCTGAGAATTCTGTATCTAAGTTTACTACTTGTAGGTGCAAATACAGACTCTAGTTGGATTAAGTTGGTTAATGCATATTAAATGACTTTTTTTACAATTTACAAGACATGCATAACTCCAGCTATGAAATAGGGTGCAAACCTGTTTAACATAATTATGAGATCACCGAATAGACATCATCTAAATTTTGAACTAAAGTCCGCAGATTTGCATCGTGTGCCTAGAAATCTCCTTTGTGAGAGCGAGTCTCCCGTGATGAGTAGAGCATACTCACTGAAATGTTGAGTTTTTCCTAGTTCATTTTAGAACCACACAATCTCACAAAAGAGATCTCTTGTCACATAGTGCAACCACAAACGTACTATTCTTGTTGGAGACTGCACCATGTAAACCTTTAACTTTAAATCTGACATTATTTTGAACTACTTTAAGTAACTGCACTGGAGCTTTTCTGCCTCAGTACACTAGGGCTGGGCATTTTCAAATAATTTAGTATTCGATTATTCCTACGGTTATTTATTTTTTTCTATTTTTTAAATGCACTGATCAAAGTAAGCACGCACGAGCCAAAATTGGCTGCCGATCGGGATTTGCATGCATCTGAATATGCCGAAAACTGACACGGCACATTACAATAATATACAGAACATCGTATAGAGCTGAATGGTTGATTTAAAAAAAAAAAGTTCGGCTCATATTCCTCATGGAAGCTCTCCAATCATTTGTCAAGTCGCTTTCAACAAAAGTGTGGCATTTTACAAACAATAAAACCATGAAACTTACAATTAAAAAAACAATGTGGATGTTTTTCATCATCTCCTCGAGAGTCAAGACTGCTCAAATTTTTCAAATATTTGAAGAAAACAAAAAGAATATTGGGATATTCGGTCGATTATTATATATTCAGGTTTATATTTTGGACAGCCCTACAGAACACTGCTGAACAGACAACTGAATTTGACTCGATAATTTTATTTTTGACTCGATAATTCTGACAGGAGACTGAGAATCAATTAAATTGAAAGTGAAAAAGCAGTTGGGTTTCTAAGACTTACACAACAACAAACTAACAGAAGTGGAGAAAACTACTCCTTAGAAAACGCTGAACCAGTGATAAAAAAATTCATTTTAAAGGGCCATAAACAAGAGACGAATGCAACTGATCGGGGGACAAGTTCCCTGTCTCCTTTTCTGGGAATTCTGTTTTTTTTCACAAAAACAGGTAAATTATGTACATTCTGCAATGGCAGCATTTGAGGCAACATAATGCATTGATACAATTATCTGATATGCAGATGTCAAATCTAACGTGAAGGGGAAAAAAATACTTGTTTCCTATAATGCAAAACAACCCAAAAATCATGCAGAATCTAAATCTTTTCAATCAAAAAAAATGTTTTAAATAATAAAATCCCTGTTTTTGCGCACGTTTTTCTCATGTTTCAAAATGTTATTTCATTTTCCGTAAGTCGGTCAGCCGTGTGGTCTCACCACACCGTGTAGTGAAGCCTATAAACAGCGAAGCAAAGGCAGAATGAACAGTTGCTATGCATGCATACCAAAAAAAAACAGAAAAAAAAACAATTTTAAAATGACACAGACATCATCCCATCCTATTCTTTCTGGCTAAAAAAACTTAAAAAAAAACAAAAACAAAAAAAAAAAAAACTACTTTTTTCTCAATGTAATAGAAAACTCAATTTCTTTCTTGGACAAACGCTTGCAAGAAAAACTATATTATGAGTTATCCTACGAGTATGTGCGGAACACCGAATAATGTAGTTCATCTGTGTCCCACATACCATGAGGACTAAGGTATGTAGGACACAAGACTACATTTTAGGGGTTCAATGAGCCAAGCGGGACAAAAAATCTATCTTCATATCTTCAAGCAAACTTGTAGCACAGTAAAATGAACATGTACGTGGTACACGAGCGGTTATCCCATTATACGTGCATGCAGAAGGAACGACACGCGCATCTTGGAAAAGCGTGATACGCAAAGTGCAATATCGACCGTGCTATTAGGTATATCACACTGTTGTTGCCATGAATAGACCAATCAGGATCAAGGATTTAAGTTTGCTTGAAGATAAATACATGCATATATAGTGTGTTTGTAACTCCCCCTGTGTCCTACCAAACCAGACTGTAGCCACTACAGTGGGCCTTGTTTCTTGTCACAGTTGTCGCACACCCTGACAGCCTCATCCCAACCCCGTGACGGCACAGGGGAACGTTTCCCCGAACACTCATCGCACACCCCCTTCCCGCAGGCACGGCAGTGGTGCTTGCGCATCTTGCTGGTAAACTCTACCTGACAGCAGGAGCAGACGGTGATCTCGCTGTCTGGTATCCAGTACGCAGGACGTGCAGCATCTACCATGAAACCTATGAACATTGGGAGGAACCGTGAGAAAACATAACACTGACTCCTGCTGAAACCTCTGCTCTGTATGGTATAGAAGTACCAGAGCTGTAGTGAAGTCCACCACAAGCCAAGTAAATCACAATTCAGGTCAGCAGGAACAGGGGATGAGCAATGAAAAAAGGAATGCCTTACAGCACAGTGTATTTCAATAGCTTGTAATTTGACTTCAGAACAGATGTGCAAGTCGGCAGGGCAGTGCAGGGCCAATTTTCATGGCTCGACTAACCTCGGAATTCTGTGCTTACAATCGCCATTTGTGCTTACAGCTCTTGCGGAAAAAGAAAAGCTTTGCTAATCATGGGATCTAAACATGCCCAAAAGCCATATGACCATAAAGTTTCATATTTCCGAATGACTTAACACTGATAATTCAAATCTACTGTTCATATTTCTTACCAAGAGGATATTGCATGGCATTTCCAAGCACACTGAACGTGGACTGTACAACTTCTCCAACTTTCCTGACTGTTACAGGCTCCTCTGCTACTCCCTCTGGAGTGATCTTCTCTGAACTAGGATCTAAAGAAAAAAATGCAACAAGTTACAAACTGTATACTAAGTACAAAGACTTTGACATTTTTGAGACCAAGCAGCCCAAGATGTGAACTAAATCTGAACCTACATTAAAGTGTCCATTTCAAGTCACTACCGCTGGTTCATCTCTGAACCGCCTTTTTTTCCCCAGTGATATATGTAGTAAGTTTCAATAGTGTGGAGTGTATCTGCAAACTTCTCAACCATTAAAAGCTTAAAGTTGAAAAGTTAGACATATTGCTCAGTAGATAAACATGATCTAACAAGATTGGCCAACTTCATGCAAATGTGGCAAGGAATATGAAGTGTCCGCCACAATTAAGGATGAAATATGAAACAAAAACAACTTTCATAATGGAAATTGATTAATAATAATATAATAATAATAATAACAACGGAGTCTTATATAACGCACGTATCTACCAACAATTAGGTACTCAAGGCGCTGGTTATTATGTCTATAATTAAAGAAAGGTAAATAAAGTATATGAGAAATATGAGACCCATTATGTAGCACCTTATAAGGGTTGACAAGGTGCTGCGGCGCATATTGCAGCCACTGCCAGAAACACAGGGGCAAACCCCTTCTCTTAGCGATAAGTGTTACTGGGTTCTTTAACGTGCATTACACAACACACGGGACCTACGGCTTTACGTCCCATCCGAAGGACGAAGCAAGAATGGTAAAGTGCCTTGTTTAAGAGCACAAGCACCATGTTCCCACGGTCAGGATTCGAACCCATGTACCACGGCACACAAATCGAACACCGTAACCACTGAACCACAGCACCCCACAATTGAATTCACACTGAGCACATTTCAAGTTCCGTGATTCGTTCCCTGTAAACAGTGTTTTAGTCGAGGTACTCGTGATCACAAGTGATCACAAGCTATTCAAATTAACTGTGACAAAGGAATTGTTCGTTACCGTTCGTCCCCTCATGTGTGACTAGACTTGGGAATAACAGTAACTTGGAAATTAGGAAATAACAGTGTGAGGAGCCAGTCTTCACTGCGTGAAAATGACTGGGTTGGGGGATGGTCTGTGTTTATAGACAGAGCCAGAGGCGAGGTCCATTATCACTGGCTTTTTAACGAAATAAACAGTCAAAATGCTTCAATTTTGTGACTTTTCTTTCGGTGATATTTCCAGACCTTTTTTTGTGTTCATGTTCAGTGGCCATATTTTAGCTTATACGTGGTACCCTGCTTCTTCAATATGCATTGTTATATACCACCCTAGCTGGGCCCAGGCTGTGCAAAGATGACGTCTTCATTGCATTACGACCACTGACGTCCAGGGTATGAACTTCTGCTGCCGTAGCGAAACCAATTACAACAATTTTTTTCATCTTTTTACCTGATGGAGGAAGCTGAAATTTCTTTTACACATTCCTTGTTTGCAGAATGCTCGGTTTAGAAAATGTAAATATGTCCGTGGGCGAAGTGTTTACAGTAAATATACTGCAGATCGATCCACGCTTTCATCGTAAACATCCTCGGCAATGCAGTATGAACATGTCATTTGAAAACTTCCTTACAAGCGTACAACCACACATAGCAACTGAGTTGTGGATGGGCACGTAAGTCTTTACACTATGGTGGTTGAGCGCATGTGTGCTGCTGTATTGTAACAAGCTACAGTAGGACTGTTGTAACTTTGGCCAATCATTTGACTTTCATGATGCTGGATCAATGCTGGTTCAGGGGCCATTTAGTCGCTTGTTCTTGCAGCCGGTCTTCATATCACATTTTAATGCACCCCCGCGTGATCAAGTCTCGACCAATCAGAAGCTATCAACTCTCCAATGTATTCATTAATTTACTTATAACAGGACTTGAGATGTATCATGACTATACAACACTGCTTTTCTTCAGCGTTTACCCTGGCATTTCGCATTGTAGCAGTGCTCGCACACCCTGACGAGCTTGTCCCCCCAGCCTCGCTCCGGTACCGCCATCTGATGGGATGAACAGTCGTCACAGAACCCTTCCCCGCAGGCCCTGCAATGGTGGATCTTCTCTCCCTCATCAAACGGACGCTCGCAATCACGGCAGACCTGGTGACAAAGACAGTGAGACAGAGGGTGAAATTAAGACACACAAACTACTGCGAAAAACAAACTTGTACAATCGGCTTTGAGCTGTCACATGCAGGGTGTCAAATTCCTTCACTATCTAATGCACTGAGACTTGACACGTCCGGCTGTGTTTGAAAATAAAGGATGTCCGACCATTATTTCAAATTCTGGTGAAAAATACTTACACAATTAGTCTAGTTTCATAACAGGAAACTGTTAAAGGTACTGTCCATCAATTGTAATTTGTGCATTTTGTTTGATTGAAGCAACAAAAGTGCTCAAAATCTAAAGAAGGATGCTGAACAACTAACCTGATGAAGTTTCAGCTCAGCTTCAGCTGTTTATTTCGAGAAAAACAACATTCTAGGATCTTGATTTCAAATCAAAAGTTGCTTAATCATGTTTTGAATTGGGCCTGAATTCAGCATCCGAGACATGTTCTCACTGAGCCGATTGCAGCTACGCGATGTCACGCACTGATCCGATAAATTATAGCAACCGCGTGCGTGTGTGTGTCGTGTCAACACTTGCGCGCGTCGCTGAATAAAAAAAACGAACTACTAAAACGGAAATTTTCAATGATGCGTCTTTGGACGCATCGTTGGAAAGGCCTTCTTTCGTTGATTTCTTCAAAATGACAGCATGCAAGAAAGAATATAACAGGGAGTTTAGTTCCCTTACTATCTTTCAACCAAGTATTTTTTTCAACAATAAATACGTCAGTTACTTATTGGATAGCTTCAACTGAACTGATGGACTGTAGCTTTAAGAGATCGTAGGTAAATTTTGCAAAGCACTACACTGGACGCTTGACCTCCGTAAAATCAAATAGTGTGTGTGGGGTGGGGGAGGGGGGTGGGCTGGTAGCATCTTCCAAAATAGGGGGCGCTCTTCAAAACTGGCCATTACGCAAACTACACATTATGTGCCCATTTTCAGGGCGCATTGTACATGTAAGGGTTTTGGGGCTTGGTTTTCATATTCCTCGTTCATATCAGAACTTTCTATACCATTTTGGGAAATGGTTACTGAAAATAAATTGTCTGAAATTTTAGGGCCAGTTTTGTTTTTTATCTTGAGGGGGCATATTTACGCTCCAAGGGACACATGTATGTCCGCAAGAGGGCCCTTGGGTAAATCTGAGGGGGGGGGGGGGAGAGTGCCTCCCTGCCCCCCGGTTCCGCCGCCCCTGGTTTCTATGGAAATTGGTGTACTAATATGCCACCAAGTAAATTTGCATCTTATTCACATACCGTAATCTGTGCGTTGGGTCGCCAGTATGCTGGTGCTATCTGGTCTGTCATCCATTGCGTCACCATCTGGGTGGGGCGAGCGCTGACTGACCCTACTGACTCCATGACGGAGGAGAGTCCATCCAGAACACGCCTGGCTGCATTGTGGGTACCTTGCAGCACGGTGCAACCCTGACGAGTGATAAAACGTGGTTGTAAGACGTGTGTGTGTGGTTCTGCTTACAGGACATGTTTATGCTTACTATCACCACTCAAAAATCAAACATATGTGCGCTGCACAAAGTCAGTAAAAAAAATCTGCTGCTGGTATACAGACCAATCCAAGCATGTAGGCCCTCTTCAATGGCAAAAGCATTGAGCTACCTATTGTTCAGATAATCTATCACCATGCAGTTGCTTAGTACAATAGCAAACACAATGGTTTCTCCATTGAAGGGGGCCTCACGAGTTTACTGTGTATCACATGTCTACTACAATTCATTGTAGGTAGAGAATTTTACGTACCCCTGGCCACACGTGTCTGATTTCTGTTCTCACGGCAGTCTGCTCAGGATCTAGGTTCCCATACCAGTGCTGTCGACTGCGGTAGATGATCCCACAGTAGGGACACTCCAAAACATATCTACAAAATCACATCACGATAAAAGGTTACAAACTGAACTAATTGTAATATTATTTGAATAGGTGGGTTGACCCAATTGTGGGACTGCCCTATAATGTTAGCCTTTTTGCCATATTAAAGGATGACCATTAACCCTCCTGCTCTATAAAAGGACACAAACAGTTAAAGTTTTATTCCACTTCCCTTGGCATACTTTTAACAAAACAAAGGGTCACTTGACCAAAATTTACCCAAGTAACAGCATGGCTCAGAGTGCATGTTCCATAGAAGGGAGGATGTTGCCATATTAAAGTAGAACGTCGCGTAGCAGGGCCCTACAATCCTTTTATTCATGTATGTACATGTATGTGCGTGTACGTAATGCTCTTGGCATATATAACATCATAAATTCGCTCCACAGGGAAGGCAATGGGACCCTTATACATGTTATACCAAAGATTGCGGGTTCAAAACTTTCACACGATGTTTTTTTTCTTTCTAAAGGTATGTGACGCTAACTTTCAGCAAAGTGCATGTGTATCTCTATGATTGGTGTAAAAGTGGTGGATAAACAATGTTTAATGTGGGCAAAATAACATGTTTGGGTTGCTTATTGTCTGCGGGTACATGTATAACATCACAGGTAACATGGTCGATACAAAGTGCTGTTTACATGCTCAAATGTGGTCTATATGAAAAGCAAAACTAAATATTGAATAGAATACATCACATAAAGCCAACTCACCCTGACCAGGCATATTTGACAAGGCCTAGCCATGATGTATCTCCCGAGGATGAAGTCTTGGGAACCACTAATACTTCCTCGCCACGCTCATAGCAAGACTGTCATTAATCGGCAAGAAAAAAAACCATCAGAACAAAATGTCTCAGAGATCCATTCTTTACAAGCTAGCAAGACCTATCATCACGCATGCAACTGGGAAGTATAAGAGAAAAAAACCTGAAATTCCAAACCACACAAGACTTCATACAGTGTTTTTCAATTTGTAATGGTATTAATGAGAACTAAAGAAAACGAGGACATCAGCGGATCCGAGGGAAAGTTGCATGCCTCTATTATTAGCCTCAAAGCGATTGCAATGAAGTTAAAAGAAAATGACGACAGTCTCGGAGTGTGCAAAATTCTTTTCAATTGAATCAGAATGGCTAAAAACTTTGTAGAATAAGATGTAGTGGTTAAATAATGGAACTGAAAAATCCACTTTCACTGTTCACATGAAGACTTGACTTATGGCCTCTGTGGACAAGTACCCCATCAATTGCCAGAAAAGGAGAGTTGGGGGTGACCTAGACTGGTTCCCGATCCACTCACTGCATATTTCTAATGTATCCAAAGTTATTGGAGGTGAGGATTAGTCTCAGAGACTATCGCAAGTGGAATTTGCACATTCAGGAAGTCGTGCGTACTTCGCGTGCGAACCAGTACAGAACAGTACCCGCACCTGTGTGTCCTGTCCACGGAACTCTCAAAAGAGGTAAAAACTCGCCCTCTTTTGTTGGTGCACGGAGCCCATAGCCTACACACGCATCATGAAAGTGGCAAGACTAATGCACATGTGGTATAATTCTACAAGACATGAATAAACAAGCCTTGTAATGGTGCTCCCAGCCTAGTGTAATTCACAAGGGACATAGTCGGTGACCAGTGAGATACATCCAAAGGGGACAGTAGGCTGTTCCTTTGTGACCAGCAGTAACTGTTGCGTTACATATCACTCGTCAACGAATATTTATGGCAGAGGTGTTTTTCTGTGAACTTTCTCCTCCGTAAAAGTAGTGGGCATAGCCTAATGGATCAGACTAAGGACTCCTGGTTTCAGCTCCATTGTTGACCTACCTTGCAAGTAAACACCTGGTTGTCATACTGGTGTTGGTATCGGCAGCGCGACTCTGAGTCATGCGACAGGTTGTCCTTGGTGTGGTTCATGGTGCGACCACAGCGGGCATCGCAGGACAGACAACGATCTGAGCATGTGAAGTACTCATCAGGGAAGGTGGACGGCACGGTAGCGTCTATCTCACCACTGAATTTGTCATTCAGGACCTACAGCCATCAAAGTAAAACAATTACATACATGAATATGAACGAAAGTCGGTTACATTCATACCATAGGTGAACAGGCCTCTCCAAAAAAAAAACAATGCTCATTTTTACTTGCAATTTATCAGGAATGCACAGAATATTTTAGAAAGAGGCAACAAGAAAAAAGGCCAGGATGTCCTCTACTATCCAATGGTATTAAGGTCATCATTGTCATGAATGACTGAATGTGACCTTTATGAAAGAGGTCAAAATCGGCACTGTAACAAGTACATGTAAGTGCTCAATGCACAAGTGGTGATACAGTAGAACGCCACTATATGGCAAACACGGTGCGGTTCATAAAAAAAAAGTTTGTTATAGTGGTCGTTCTTTATAGTGATTGTGCATTATAATAGAATGTAATACGTCGGGAGCCAAAGGGATGTTTGTTATAGTCAATTGTAGCGGTGTTTTAGCAGTATTTTACTGTCCAGCATTAAAGTGAAAAAAATTAATAAAATTAACTGAACCAAATCGCACTGAATTGAACAGAAAGTAGGAGCCTACATTTTGTAAATTCTCCTGAAGCCAAACCTGCAGACGAAACTAAGATTTGGAAAATAAAAAGCACCTTAGACAATCTTACTGAGGCAGTTAACAAAAGCTCACGAGTTCACCATTTTTAAAGTGGACCATAAAAACTGAATACGTACCTTGAGAGCATTGTAGACAACTGTTGATAGCCGCGGGGACCTGACACTGCCGTTCCTCACGTGGGCCAATATGGCCTTGCGTAGGCCTCTGAAGTCCGTCGGAGGCGCGATGGTCTGAGTGCCGATGTACTGGACGCAGCTGAAGGCTTCGATGCTGTGGCCGTATTCCTTGAAGCGTTCTCGCAGGATGGCGTCGGCTGAAACACCAAGGCTGTCGCCTTGTGCGGGTTGGTCTGGAAGACACAAAGTAACTGTCAAATGAAAATTCTATGCCAAATAAAGGTATATTTCTTCACATAAATGTATGTAATCTAAAAGTCTGGAATCAAGTTTTATTATTCTTTGCAAAATTATAGTTTAGGACCCTACTCCTATAGTTAAAACCTCACTTTTGTCTTGCTAGAATCACCTAAATAGTTGATGTTGATAGCAGCAGGGTTACTTTTTGTGGAAAAAGCTAAATTCTGTTTCAACCATTAGTACACTGGAAACAAGTCAAAGTCTCCTTTCATTGCGTTCCTGTGTGCTTTGAAAATGGCTACACAAACTTTTTGTGTGATTTTTTTTTTTTTTCAAAACCAACTGAGCTGTGCACTTTATTTGTGTGATTGATAATACAGATGTTTTGTTTCTCTTTTTGCACAAACACCATGTAGGGTTTTCCAAAAAAGCTCAATTTCATTTCAAAATGTTATCGTGTCAGTGCAACAAGGTCGTAACTCCATTCTGCAACAAAGTCGTATCTCGCGCGAATACGCTCTGTGCAACAAGGTCGTATCGCGACGTCCGTTGACTCTGTGTGTACATCCGGGTTATATTAAGTGATTCGACCTTTTGACATTCTGAAACTCGCGTTTCATCATGTTCATGTACGGCCCATTTTAGGAGATACGACCTTGTTGCACGGACACGACGATGTGATGTCTGCTGTTTCAAACTGAAGTGGAATAATCAGTGTGTAATCCTATATGGCCCTGATCTTACCAGATCCCAGGGGCACAGTATGGGTTGTCTCCTGGAATACAATGACAGCCGGCCCCAGGCTGGTCAGGGAGCCACTCAGGTGACCCCTCTCCGAGGCCGCCTTCAGCTCCCGATTGAAATGACGGCTGTAGGCCTTGGAGGCGTCACCCAGAAACTGGAACAGGTCCCTGTGGAGGCGGTCGGCTCGGGTGCGGTACACCACCACGTCCGAGATGGCTAGGACTTTAAGCAGTAGTCGGGTGCGCTGATTCTCATTGGTAGATATACCCTGCAGGTATGTACAAGTGTTAAAAGATTTATCAATGTATCAATAACTGACCCTGACAAGCTTGGTTGTCAGGTGGTTAATATGTCTGCACTAGTGAGCAGGAGGTTGTGGGTTCGAATCCTACCTGAGCAAGCTTGCATGCGTGGATTTAAACTGAAGCCTTCATATTCACAAAGCGATATTCAATATATTGAACCAAACAGAATGCCACAGATGAATGACTGACACAACCAGCTAATCATCGAGAACATGTTATGCCGCAACTAGCCCATGCATGGTCTCAACTTAAGCTGGGACCTCCCAACTTGGGCATTCCAGCTGGAACACTTTAGTTAGGACTGATAGTCTAGTTGGAGCGTAGCAAATCAAATATAAAGAAATGTGAAGAACAGTGGTCTCACCAGGAGTTTCATTCAAAGTGCAGGCTTGATATTTAAAATGGTGGCTTTATGACAAAGATGAGGGCGGAAGATTAGAGAGGATTTGCAAGCAAACGGATAGGGTTAACTAGCGTGCTGGGTAAGTTTGTGCGGTCTCGTGACGTCATACGTGTACACAACTCGTTATCTGCAATAGGTGCACATGGTACGGATGTCTGACGGATTTTAAACGTATGCGTAAATGTACATGATGAAAAACAATGTGAAGTGAGTGATCATGGTTACGGGTAGCAAAACGTATATGCGAAGCCACTTGCATGCGATACCCCTCTTTTATCTAAAAGGGTGGGGGAAGTATTAACAATGTCTGTTGTTTTTCATGTGGCACATAATTTTCCAGAGTGGTGTACCATTTTTTCACTATAGGGAATTTCTCAATTTTCCATTCGGTTTTGGGGAGCTCCACCTTTTGTTATGCATGGTGAGTCTCTGGTGAACAAAGTGGTATTGTTATAAAGCACTTATTGAGTGCATCCAACATGTCCAAACGGATATCCTCATGGCTAATGCATATTCGAATGAGATTATAACTGATGCTGGTACTTTGCTATACAGTAAGCACTTACTGAGACAAGGTGACTTTGTATTGCTGGTGGTTCTCCAATAGTTTGTTCCACATTTAGGGAGAATGCAATCTTTTTACTGGTTTGTACGTTTTTTATACTTATATTTATTTTCATTACTTTCTAATTACTACAGAGACCAACAGTGGATTTTAATGTTCCCACGTGGAATTTTAAACAGGCTTTTTTAGGTTCTGTGCAGTATTTTATCTTTCAACGTAGCCTTCCGAATTTATGGGATTGGAATAGTGAATATGGAGGGTCCTTAAATTTCACGAACATTTGTTAAAGTAGTTAATATTACAGAGACCAAAACAGGATTTTAATTGTACCCACATAACTTTAAACAAGCTTTTTTAGGTTCTGTGTGGTATTTTATCTTTACTGAATTTTGATTAATGACATATTTTTATATCATTCTTCTTAGTGAAGTACATGTACTGTGTTTTTTGGGTAATATGTATTCGTAATTTTTAAAAAAAAATTTCATTAACTTGTTTAATGTAAAAGGCCAATGGTTGAACACCGAGGTACCCAGTAAAACCCAATAAAAGCTTGAGGTAAACCTCAAATTACCACCAGTTTAATCATGTTAATTTTGCATTTTCCCCTTAAACTCTGGACCGGTACAGGGGGTGTTGTCTCAGAAGCATGAGAAAATGTTTGAAAAGTCACTTACTCTGTGTCACTTCGACCAGCACCCGATTTCACGAAACTCTTCGTAACTTACGATGCGTCGCAACGATGCAACGCATCGTATCCCTACGATGCGTCGCAGCTGCGACGCATCCTGCGATCCATTTCACAAAACGCGTCGTACATGTAAGTGCGACGCAGCGTATGTGTATTTATAGCACAACTCGGTGACTGTTTTATGTATTAAGTCAGCGTACAGTAAATAGTCGTCTGGTATTCAACAAAGAGTCGTCGGATCTCCGCTCGAAATTTGTTAAAACGTAGGACAAAATGGCGGCCGTGTGATGCAATTTTAAACGAAAACGAGCTCTCAGTGGACTGTGTAGCTACTTTGGAATTTCAACTGCAATATTCCAGGGTAATTCATAATTATTGAATGAAATTTCTATTTAGAACTTTACACACCTTGCCTCAGTATTATTATCTCGTTTATGTATTGTTTATGGCACAAAACTGGCTAAAAACGGACTCTTCTTATTTTGCGACGACAACTAGACACGTCGTAACTTGCGACGTGTTTTAAGCCATTGTCAAGCAACTTACGAAGTGTTCAACACATGGCAACTTTCGTGAAATGGATTATACGACGCGTCGCGAGTTGCGACGTGTTACAAGTCGTAACTCGAGTTGCGACGCGTCGCAGCGCTTCGTGAAATCGGGTGCAGGTCTATAGTACTGTGACATGACACAACAGCTGTTAGTATTTCGACAGTTGCCACCACTGCCAAACAATGGTGCCTCAAAGGCTCCTACCATTTAGGAGTGACAGTACCGTGTCTGATCGTTCAGAAATTCTGTAGCATCCAGAAATTGTATGTGGTGAATATTGGGACCAATTAATGTACCTTCTTTTTTGTGGAAGGAACGAATACTGCGCAAATTGTAATTTGTGGATAGCCTCATATGTACAATGTAAAGGACTAAACATTTAGATGAAATTTCAGCTCATAAATGTAGAGGATGCGAAAGTGACTTTTTGAACGTTTCCCCATGCTTCTGAGATGGGGCGTTGTAGCCCAAGCCCCGTTTACAGGTCTAACTAAACCCTACCTGGAGGCCCTCGGTGTCTGTGACAATGACGCTTGTGGCGTCGTCGTAAGCAGCCCAGATGCCAATGGTGCAAGAATCCTGAGCTGGGGAGGTGCGGAACACATCCTGCCCGCCAAAGAAGGTGTGGTTGAGAGAGTGCGACTTGCCGTCTCCGGTGTTGCCAAAGATGGAGACCACCTTGACTGGCGTGTCTGCCGGGCAACCAAGATGCTCTGCAAATCTGGCTGCTGTCTCAACCTGAAATATTTAAACGTTGAAGTAATTTTCATCAAATAAACAGCAAAGGGTCATGACTAGCAGTGTTTTAGTCGAGATACTTGTAATATTGATCACAAGTCAATACAAGGTAATCACATGCCATCCAGACCCAATTCAACTTTAAAGGGAATATACATCATTTGCTTTTACTGTAATTTTCAGAATTGGATGGAATTGGGGGGTTGGAAATATATAGCAAATATAGTTACACTGACTTTTTTGAGGTTTTGGGTTCGAATATGCTATAAAAACCAAGAAAAACAATCATTTTCCTGTAGTCTGGTACCCTGACTCCATATAAGAAGAAACAGAGCAGTTTACATACATTGGGGAATTGTAAGGTCAGGGAACCAGTCTAGCTGGCTCGTACCCGTTCATAGGTTTGTAATCAATTGCAAACAAGTGCGATGGTCAATTGGGGCCAGTATTTGAAAAAAAAGCCATTTTTTTTCCAACGCTGATCGGCCGATCAGCGTTGGATATTGATACAAAATACCACTTTTCTTGAAAATGACAGTATACCAGGTGCCATGATTTTACAGGATGCTTTACACTGTCATTCACTAACAGTCCAGCAAGGTATTTCAAAATGATTTGGTAGTTTTATTTTTTGATGTTTGCAAATGTTGTATTTTCCCTTTAAGAGTAGGTGAATGAAACCAATCTTAAGGTTTCATTTTTTTTGTGACACAAGCTAAAGGAAATACTTGTTGGAACATCTCCCAATTTGCTCCATGGTCTCTGATTGTGACCGCATTCACTCGCTTAATGGTCTTCTTGGTTCATGAATAGCCTGCTCATTCAACTGATCAGAGAGTTTTGATCACCACTGCAATTCTTCAGTGTTTTTGTGAAGGCCAAGTGGTCAATGAATCTCTCAAGCTTTCTGTCACATTTTATTAACATGACTGTGAGCTGGATGAGAACTCCCAGTGAAATCAGACAACTGTAACTTGGTTTGAAAAAAAAGTAGGACAACACGATTTTGAAATCCCAATTTCTCCCACCATTACTTTTTTCGTATGGATGATTGTGAGCCACTATTTGCATGGTTGTAAAATGTAGGCCACTTTGCGTCAAATTAGTTTTGCTTTAACGAAAAACTAGAGCTTTGAATGTATCCACTGTTTTCTAATGTTTTCCTATTAAAATGAAGTGACACATGATTATAGCTGCATGATTGTGATGTGTTGACAAAACCACTGGCTTCTTACATGCCTAGCTATAGTGACAGGTACATGTTCATGTAGATGTACATGTATAAAGGCAAACATTAAGCACCTGAAGATTTTCATTGTCATCAACCAGAAGGAAGCCTGGCTTGTATTTGATGACAGGTTCTTTGTCCTTGAGCTGAGGTCTAGACAAGACAGAATCATCCCTCCCTGCTTCTTGAATGCTGCCCTGCCTCCGACTGAAACTACCCCTTGGGGATTCCATCTCTCCATCCCCATCATTGGAACTGGTGGAGTTCTGAGAGGTGCCCATAACGGATGCTACTGGCCGGACCAAGTTTGGCTCACGACTTGGATTGGACAAAACGGGAGGTCTTTGTTGAGAATCCATTTTAGAATGGGAGCCACTCTTCCGCTTATCCTGTTTGTCATCAACAGGGTGGAGAAGGACCTGTTGAGCTGTGGCACTCAGATGTGATGGGTTTACTTCTTGTTTCGGGAAGGCTGTGTCTTTTCCAGACTGAGAAGATACCACCTGCTTTGTAGTTCGTGCTTTGGGTGTCGGTTTTACAGCTTGATGAGCATGCGGACCACTAGTATCAGCCCCGGAGGTGAAATGTCCTGAGCTCAAGGGAAGAGCACTTGGTTCTTCAGACGTTCCAAAGCGGTCAATATCTAGCTCAGCCGTTTGGGGATTCTCCTTCATCACTTTCTCGAGGCCTTCCTCAAGACTAAGGAATTCATTGCTGGACACCTCATCCATGGCAACAGTTGTCAGTTCCTCAAAGCATCCTTGTGCCAGCTTCAGGTTGAATTCTGGTGGGCTTTCTAACTTCTGCAAGACTGGCAAAGTTTCATCTGAGCTGATGCCAACTGCACTTTGAAACTGATCCTCAGAAAGTGAGTTTACGCTCGGGCTTGTTGGAGAAGTTTCATAGAAAGTCTGCTCGTGGTCAGAATGATTGTCAGTGACGGGAGATGCCAGTACGGTCAAGACTTTATTTGCATCAGATGCATCAACACATGTTGGGGTCGAAATGACAATGGGTCGGCGGTGATGTTTGGACAGTTTACCCCTGTGAAAAACCCGATTGCATTCCCCGCATAAAACTCCCTTGCACTCAATACAAGAATACTCGGCAGGATTGATGGGGTTACACCACATGCCACATTGCTGGACTGATGGTGGGAACACTGGCTGTTGAATCCGGACGCGGTCGTGGTCTACGAACCGAGGATCGCTCGCATGAAGCCGTGTCGCGCATTCACTGCACTGCCTTGTCCCGCAGTCAAAACAATCGAACTCTGCCTTGGATCCGTTGCAGGAAAATCGCTCTTGGCAGATACGTTTCGAACCGGGGATTTTATGATGATCTGTGGTTCTAGAACGAGTTGCCATACTACAAAACACCTCTCCGAATACTGATAAACCTAAACCGTGTCCATCATTTGGGGAAATCCGAGTAAAAACAGCGTTTTCCTACACGAACAATAAAACCTGTGGTCTATTTTAGGAAATGATGATGACACACCAAAACGACCGGCTGATCGACTGATACCTGTTTGTTTTGACATTGAAAACCGTTCTATTAGGCGTACTGCAGTCTAGGTACCGAACAGGGAAAACACAGGTTGACCTCGCCTCGTCCCTAGCCTCCCGCAAATGCTCTAGGTAATAAACAACCTCACTGGGCCCGGCCGGAGTCGATGCATGCAGATACCAAAGGTCTCAGAGACGACTGGAAACTAGTCTAAGATAAAGTAGGTTTTACCATTAGGAGGTAGGGAGATTGCCACGTTGTGCATGTTGCATAAATCTTTACGGTGCATACTAAAATCAACATTTCGAAAATAGTCCAGACTAATTATGCTTTAGGGATTCATCTTTTTCCTTTTAATTTTTTTTCCAACTATTTTGCCCCTTTTTTCAACCCCGTAGTTTATATCATTAATACCCCCTTACTCTAATGATCAGGTTTCAAGGTCACAGTATAGTACCACGTACGGCTTATTTGCTATGCTTCATTGCAGTAGTTTATCAACTTGGAATATTATCTAGGCCGCCCCTAGCTTTCTAACGCTTTTCCTTTTTAACCTGTGGTTGGAGGTGCGTGCGGTAAAGATTTCAAGATGTTCACAGCGGAGAAAGCTTCATCAGCTGACAAACCCCCCAATATATTGGTGTTTTTCTGCAATGGCAAAAAAGTGAGTGTTAGTTGTTACCTTTCCCTGTGATATCTTTCCAAGTTTTGAATGACGGTAATAAAGACTTAAAGTCGTTGGAACAGTCATGACAGTGAAGTCCAGCATCATTCTCATTGTGTCACATCTGATATTTGCCGTACTTCATCCGCATTATGTACCGGTATGCTTGTAATATATATATACTTAAAACATGGATGTAAAAATGCTATTTCACAATACATTATGGCTCTGGTATTTTTAATATGTATTTTTGTCAACCAAGAGGGTAAACAAATGAAAATAGGGCCTATGTCAGCACACTTCAAACATGTTGTACATGTTGTAGCATCAAAACTAATTATATTTATAAGAAATGTAAAAGTCTGAGCTTAAACATGTTAAATCTAACTCTAAACTGGTAATCCTTACTTTTAGGACCCCTTTCCTATATAAGGTTAAAAGACTCACCAAAACAGCTGACTAAATGACACTCAAAAGTGACATTCTGATATTTATTGACGCATTTGAACATTTGGCAATGACACCTCTTGAATATCAGCAGGTTTGATTTTGTAGAAAGAGGGCAGGGTTTTGATTTATGAGGGGTTAAAGACGACGATGACAAACAGAAAATAAATTTTAAAAGCAAGATGGCGAACTGCAAAAAAGGTAGGAAAGTCACATTTTCTTTGAAAGTGCTTTCAAAATTATAACTAACATGAGTTTGTCTGACATGTCTGAAGAAAAAAGACTTCTTGCCTACAAAAGTCACTTTGGTACTGGACAGTCATCTGCAAAAGTCAGTTTTGAACAGAATTCGTACAAAATAGAGGTGTCCTTAAAGTAAGGATTACCTCTAAACTTGTGAAACATCCATGAACATGATAACATTTGTACATTTTACTACAAACTGTTACATATCTCAAAGTTGTGATATTCAACTCATCCCTTACCAACTACTTTAACCATGAATATTAATGTTAAGAGCATGGTTCAGAGATTATTTACGCAAAGTTTTGAGTTTCTATCACAAAGAATTGCATTTTTACATTGCTTTTCAACATTTTGTAAAATGCATTCGGTGTTAAAAACACAAGAGTGAACAAGAATAAAGCAAAGAATGTTGCAACCTGACGCCACTTTTATATGTACATTGTATCATCTCAGTGAAGGTCAGTCATTGCAATAAAATTTAAAAGACTGAGAAACATAAACTTCTGATTTTGTTAAGAATAATTTGAAAATGTTCTTGACTCGTCATAGACATCTGTCATGTCTGTACACAACCAAAGAAGTGGCGTCACGACACTACATTCTTTCCCATGTAACTTTAATATTTGCTATAAAGTGTATGCATAGTAAATAACCTAAACAACAACAAAATGAATTTTGAATCATTATGATCATTCCCAACTTCAACAGTCACGATTTTATTATTTCTTTCAGTGTTCATTAATGCACAAATTGAAAGCTGTGATTAAGATTCCAATATCTGAAATTTTCACAGTATTACCTTTAATTTGGTACGTGTATCATGTCTCTTTCTGGTAGTAATATTTTTGCAAATTGCTTGAATTTTGTAAATTATAGAACATTCCAATTGTAATCACAATTTCAGTCTTACCTGTATGACACATAATGAATTACAGTGTGTTTTCATTTCTTAGTTTATCATTTTGATGTTTTTCATGTTTATGTTTGAAGGTTGTTGACCACCATGTGGAGCCAGAACTTACATTGCTTGCATACCTACGCACCAAATGTATCCTTTGAAATGCCATGTGATGCCAGGATTGTATTTTTTTGTGGTTGTTTAACATTGTCTCCCGTTGCAGATTGCAATCATATTAATCATCAGATTAGCCCTAACCACCCTGAATCCATTAAAATCCATACCCCTGTTTTGGAGTATTTCGGCGGATTCAGGATACCTCAATTATTGAAAACAGGGGATTTTGATGGATTAGGATTGTAAGCCTAGTGTACTGCAGGATTTTGATGGATTCAGGATACCTCCATACTGAGCAGTCACCAACACCAAAATGTTTGTGCATGACACAATTGGTGGATTTTGGTGGATTCAGGATACTTTCTAGTAAGGGGTTCCGGTTAATTAAATCACAAATTCCAAGTGGGGGTTCATTTATAAAGTCTGTCATTGTCTGTGGGTGCCGTTTTGCACACAACTTTTGGTGTGTTTGGGTGAGGGCTATGGTAAAATAATTTTTGGCTCATATAATTTTGCCAACTTATGTCAAAAGAAATCTTTTTATTCTGAAACAGCATAACTTTGGGTTATTATGCACGATTTGAAACAGGTAACATTGCATTTAAAAACTGTTTTGCTTGTGTTTGTTTATACGCCCCAAATACAGCATTGGTCCCAACTACAGTTTGGGCAGTCCCAACTTCAGTTGAGAAAACCCTAACAATAGTTGGGACCGGACGATGCTGTATCTGGCATGTCTGGGGTGCAATTACATGTAGGCCCCCAATATGTTCGTTGGAACAAATTCATGAAAAAAGGCAACTTCAGATTAAATGTTATTTCCCAATCTGGTTTTTTTTTTTCATTTCATCGGCTACAAAATGTAATTTTGTTATCTCCCAAAGATGGTAAAATACCAGTAAAAACAATGAAAAAGTGTTTTCCAATTTTAAAGGTTTTTATGTGAGTAATGGATTGCATATATAAACCAGTTACTTCACTCAATGTTTCTTGTACTGCTGCCCCTAACCATGCTAACTGCACTCATGGGCGTCGCGAGGGGGGGGGGACAAGGGGGGGGGGGGGGGGCGCTTGCCCCCCCCCCCTGGAAAAAAAAAAAAAAAGAGGCGCGATGTCATAGTGGTGTAAATTTAATGAGTTGGGAGGGGGGGAAAATGTCCCTCCCCCCCTCTAAAACTGATAAATCGAGAATTGGTTGAGAAATACAAGAATTTTTTGGGAAAATATGTTTTGCCCCCCCTCTAGAAAAAAATCCTGGCGACGCCCATGACTGCACTGCCTGTATGATCATAACCTGTGTTTTTTATTATTTATTTTTTCCGGAAATAAATACAGTGTAATACAGTGTGTTACATGTGCTAGTTGTGGGTGAAAAAGAGACAGCAGCTGCATGTGGGTCATTCTATAAATATCCCAAGTCCAAAGTGTGACCTACATGTACATGTACACATAGGCCTGTTTCCTGTCCCTGTTATTAACTTGGTACTTTGTAATTTGCCATTCTACTATCATAAAGAATCAACTTTAAACAATGGTTTATTTGTTGGGTAGGTAGTTTCTATTCATAATCACTCTTGGAGGAGGACTGCATTAAAAGAGTACATCAGAACTATAATGTCATATACTGTATGTCAGATGTAACAGGGACAGGAAAAACAGTGGACCCCAAATGTACAGAATGACCCACATTCCAAATACAGAGAATGCCCTTAAAGGGAATGTACATCATTGGCTTTTGCTTTAATTTTCAGAAATGAACTATTTGAGGGGTTAGTATAATAGATCAAATTATTGTTACACTGACATGTTTGAAGTTTTGTTTTCGAAAATGCTGGAAAAACCAAGAAAAACAAAAATGTTCAAGTAGTCTGGTTCCCCGACTCCACTGAAGATGAAATGGATCAATTTACAGATGCCGTAAAATTGTTCAGTAAGGGAACCAGTCTAGCTGGCCTGCACCCATTCATGAACATGAAACCAATAGCAAACAAAATTTGGACTGAAGAAAATGGTAAATTTGGAGCAGAAATGAAAAATAGTTAGGTTTTTCCTACGGTGGTCGGCCGACCACCGTTGGAAATGTATACCGTTGGAAATGTATGCCATAATTTTACAGGATACTTTAGACTGTCATTTACCAACATCCTGTAAGGTATTTCGTAAAAACTTGGTCGTTTTAATTTTCGCTGTTTGCAAATGTTGTATTTTCCCTTTAACTGTGACTTCCAACAGTACGCCTTACTGGTAGCAAGCTTGGCTGCGGGGAAGGTGGGTGTGGAGCTTGTACAGTCATGGTGTCCAAGTATTCTCCAAAAGACAAAACCATCAAGTTAGTGGCTGTTTATTATCATCATTTATTTGGGCATGATTATAACATAGGAAAAAGAATAATTAATGGGATTTAAAAAAAACATTGTGCCATGTGGTTTGATGCATTGAAGTCACGGTCTGCTAGTATAGTCCTGCTGGTTGAGGGTTCGAGTCCAGCCTGGGGTTATGGTGTTTGTCATAGGAGTACATACAGTGAACATGGATGCCTGTGATGGCATAGATGGTAATTGTAATCAATTTGAGCTACATGTACACATGTATTTTGCTCTGAATATGGCAGCATCTGTACATGTAGACTGTACATGTATATTCCCCATGGAGCTGATTTTGTCTTTGGAATGTTTTATTGGCCCAATGAGCAGGGGTAATAATTGTGAAGTGCCTTGATCATGAGCACCATTAAATTGTGGATACATGTATGAGCGCTTTTATATAAGAAACTCAATATTATTTTTGTTACATGTATGTATTATTATTATATACTGGTGTCATAGAAAATTTGGGCCCCTATGAAATGTGGTCTCTTTACCTTTATGGACTCTAATACCTGACAAGTGACCTTGTCACTATCCCAGTACGTATTTCACATGTCACACTACACTGGTCCCTTGCTCTAACTAATGTTCAAGGCTACGAATATTAAGGATTTGTTTACTTTTTGCTGTTGTAGATAAAAATAATTCTGGAAATTCTCATTGAGTTGCAATAGAGATTCTAGAGGTTTGTCACTTTCTCATGAAAATCCCCACTTCTGTCTTTCCATTAAATATGTTAAATGTACAGGCAGAAAAAAAATTAATAAAACAGAGTAAGTTTGAAAAGCCTTATCTTTCTAGTGTAAACATGGACGCTGGACAAGTCCTACATGTATAGCTGCAACCTTGATATAAACAAACAAGGGTTATTTATTTTAGGACAACCTTGTCCAGATAGCTTATAACTTGGCAAGTCATTGTATGAAAGCAAGTAAAACAAGAATGAAAGCGGCATTCCCACGACGATAAAAGTGGCCGCCATCATGGATGTATGCAAAATACCGGCAGATCCTCGCGAAATACCGGCAGATCCAGCACACGGGGTCCGAAACTACACAGTTTTCAAAACTAACAGACAATGGGACTATTCAGAGCGATACGACCGTCATGTTAAACAAAAAAGGCACCCGAATGCCCACTGGCACAAAAAGGGCACCAATTATTTTTTAAAAGGGCACTTAATGTTCAGAAAAAAGGGTACTTTAATAAAAAAAAGGCCACTCCTACAAAAATATTTGGGGGGGGGGGGGTTAAGTGCTGGTGAGAAAGGGCATTTCAATGGAAAAGGGCAGTCTTTAGAAAATATTCGGGGGATAAATTACCCCCCTTACCCCCAGTTTTCATGGGTTGCAATAACCTTTCAACACCCAAGACTCAAAAACCATTGATTTCTAAGTCGGGCATGCAATTAACTTTTCCTCGGATCAGCTGGTTTCCTCGTCTTTCACTAAACACTTATGCCATTAAAAATTGAAAAACACGGTACAAAGTCTTGTAAAGATTTTTTTGGTTACGGTTCACTCACCCTATTAGTGGCCTTACCCTTTGCCCCTTTAAATTTCCTCTAAAACTGGCATTGTAAAGTTTGTAATTTCTGTTTTTTGTTGGTTTCTTTTCAGCCACCTTGCTGTCAACGCCTGCCTGGCGCCCATCTGCTCTGTGCAGGGTATGGCCGTCACAACTGTGGAGGGGATTGGCAGCACCAAGACTAGACTCCATCCAGTACAGGTACATGTGTGCCAGTCTAGAATGTAAAGTGGAATTACCAGAATAGATGTCTTTAGCCTTGCTTGCGAAATAGATCAAACAACAAAAGATTAACTTAATCATTAAATAGTTTCTATCTTAAAATATGTTTTATAGGCATATATGGCTGTTTTGAAAATTAGGGTCAGGTGGTCTTGAATTTCTAGGACAAATGTTCACACCCATGTTGTTGTGTAAACACTTGTTTGGTGATTACAATTTGATACAGAAATATAATAATCTAATAAACAAGGAAGTCTATTTTTAGATTACAATTCACATACATACCTTACATTGATAAAAATGTCACAGATGTACACATTTAGGTTTTCAGATCAGATCAAAAAACTAAAAAAAAAAAAAAAAAGGTCAATTCCATGCAAAAGTGGACATGGCAGAAAAGTGGACAATTTGTAAAATCATCAGAAAGTCCAAAGCATCACAGCCTCAAATGTGGTATCAAATTCAATGGGACATCAAGACCTTTCATTTGAGTGGTGTGCCAGTGAGATGGAATACCATCAAATGTATTTTTTGTCCAAAAACTGTTACCGATGCGAGTTACCGTAGCACGAGTTACCGAAATACATCCCTCTAGAGGTGTCATGATTGATTATTTCTTAATGAATAATTGTTATGGTAGCATATGATTCGCATCCTAATGATGTACTAAATGACACTGAAAAGATTTTTCCAACATGTCACAGTATGAGTACATTTTCAAATGCAAAGTATTTAATTTTTTTGCCATGTCCTTTTTTATGTACACAAGTTACCGATAAAAAAGTTATTGCCAAACCAACAGAATTTTGTTTTGTTGGCCTCTTTTGTGTAGTTTAGTCACTTAACTTCACGGTAACCTCCCCAACTCCGTCAAAATTTGTCCCCCTCATTTTGGTGGAGTTTGGGGGACTTGGTCCTGCAGGCCTGGTGTGACTAAATATTGATGGAGTATGATGGACTTGGGCCTGGAGGCCTAAGGCAAAGCATGCATTGGAAGCAGTGTGATTGATGGATTTTGGCAGACCTGGTCCAGTACTTACCCGGTAGTAAAAGTCAGTAGTGAGTTAGGTTTAAGGGGGTCTTCTGTGAGATAAATCCACCCTAAATTCTTTGAATTTATAGAATAACATTACTTAGAGTGTTGACAGAGGACACCCAAACCCTGCGAGCTGCGAGCACGCGAGGCACTTTTTTTTTGTTTCTTTACTTTTTTTTTGTTTCTTTACTTTTTTTTATGAAGCTATCGCCCAATTCCCTTGAAACTACATGTATTCATAAAGTGAACCTTGTAGTTTGAGATGGTATGGTCGCTTTTCTTGTAGGAGTTCACTTGGGGGTCAGCCGCCCCTGGGAAAGTTGGGCCTCCAGCCAAAGCCCATTCACTTGTGCACAAAAAAAGTTCTCTGTGTTTTAGGCCACAACAATGTCATCAATCATCCTCTACTGCTGGCCCAGTGACAGCTGTCTAGAGCCACAGAAAGGTCATCAGTCTGTACTGATGCTGTCTCGACTGTTTCATGTCCATCTTTTTTTGGGGATCCAACATGTAATGGACGATCCAACATGTAATGGTCACAGTGCATGCAGTGTACATGTAATTAGTTTAGTCGGAAGAAGGGGGTATCGTGCACCCTCGGAAATCAATTTCTAATCAACGTTTCTAGGTCAGAAAAAATGCGTTGAAAACGATTTGCTATGTTAAAAAATTCAAAAAATGTCCCACGTATTGTTTTTATGCAAATTAGTGCCGCCATTACCGAAAAATCTATTTGTAACTATATCTCAGCCAATATTGCAGATAACTGAACAAACTAGGTGTCTAAACCCATGTTTTCAAGGTCAGAGATCACAATAAAACTATTCTGGAAGTGACCACATGTGTCTGTGGCATAGGAATATGCAAATTAGTGCCGCTAATACCGGAAAATCATGTTTTTGGCATATCTCGGCCAATATAGAACATAACTACACCAGTAAGGTGTCTAAACCCATGTTTTGAGGGTCAAGTATCATTAGAAGACCATTCACGAAGTAACTATGTGTGTCCTTGGCATGAAAATATGTAAATTATGAAGTGTCGGTTTATCAGATATTTGATTTTTAGCCAATATCTCGGCCAATATTGCACTTAACTACACAAGTAAGGTGTCTAAACCCATGTTTTGAGGGTCAGGTATCATTAGAAGACCATTCATGAAGTAACTATGTGTGTCTTTGGCATGAAAATATGTAAATTCTAAATTGCCGGTTTATCAAAAAAATGATTTTCAGCCAAATTATATTCAATTTCAGCCAATATTACAGTTAATTTTGAATATGATGGCTTAAAATAAACTTTGATCATTATTGCTTATCAAAAACCATTCTGTCAACATTAGCTGCAATATTGGCCGAGATATTGGCTAAAAATCAAATTTCTGATAAATCGACACTTTAGAATTTACATATTTACCTGCCAAGGACACACATAGTTACTTCGTGAATGGTCTTCTAATGATACCTGACCCTCAAAACATGGGTTTAGACACCTTACTTGTGTAGTTATGTGCAATATTGGCCGAGATATTGGCTAAAAATCAAATATCTGATAAACCGACACTTTATAATTTACATATTTTCATGCCAAAGACACACATAGTTACTTCGTGAATGGTCTTCTAATGATACTTGACCCTCAAAACATGGGTTTAGACACCTTACTGGTGTAGTTATGTGCTATATTGGCCGAGATATGCCAAAAACATGACTTTCCGGTATTTGCGGCAGTAATTTGCATATTCCTATGCCACAGACACATGTGGTCACTTCCAGAATAGTTTTATTGTGATCTCTGACCTTGAAAACATGGGTTTAGACACCTAGTTCGTTCAGTTATCTGCAATATTGGCTGAGATATAGTTACAAATAGATTTTTCGGTAATGGCGGCACTAATTTGCATAAAAACAATACCTGGGACATTTTTTGAATTTTTTAACATAGCAAATCGTTTTCTACGCATTTTTTCTGACCTAGAAACGTTGATTAGAAATTGATTTCCGAGGGTGCACGATACCCCCCTTTTCCGACTGAACTATATGTACATGACTGTGCAGCCACAATGTCTGTGAGTGACCTACTGGAGGGGATTCAATCTTGTGTGGGTTCGGGGGACCTGCATTCATAATATTTAGACCATTAGAGAAAGGATTGTGTCCACAAAATAGTATTTTATACACGAAATCAAAACTGCCTCACGCGTGAGCACCTCAGGGCCGCTTGTAAGTTTTTACGCTTCGCCGCTCGCAGGGTTAAATGTAACACGAGTCACCGTGGAATAACCCATAAGATTAATAGCCACTGTACAGCATGTAACAGTTGCATTAATTAACCCACTCGAGCTATTCCATTAATTGAAACACTTCACAGAAGTTGTAATTTTGCTCTGTAAAACGTTTTAATTTGTTTTAGTCAGCCAAGGCAACATTATATATGCAGTTTCAGTGACTAATACCACAACCCACTGCCAAATGACAAACACAAGAGTAAAGTTATAATGTCAGACTGGTAATTTGTGTTAACAACATGTCTCATAATCGAGGTTTAAATGTAATTTAAAAAAACAGCAAAGAGCAACACCTCTGCTAAAAACTTCATTAACATTTTAGGCCCGGTGAGTCAACTGTATAGGGTCTGCATCAATATGATGCAGCGTCACTTACAAATCACGTACTAGGGTGGGGTTTTTTTTTGAAAATAAATTTATCTTTTGCCATTGTTATTGTTGAATTTTACACAGCGTTTGAAAGGATAAAAGTTAATTGCTGCTATCAACATGCTCCAATTTAGTGAACTGAAATCAACTGCCTCACCAGAATTCATTTGCCTTGCTAGTAATAAGCGCAACAGATGGTATGATAATAACCCTTAATTTATTGTTATTACTACGGATCAGTAAAATATTGCTAACTTATTAAAGGCCAATTTCTCTCAGGATCAAGAATAATATACAAATATAGTGGCCGTGGAAGCTCACAGTTCTCAATGTATGACAAAAAGCTGTGTGGTTGGAACAGGCTGTGTGGCGTTAGGGAGATGCACTTTTTCAGTGTTGCAAGTGCGTAGTTGGTGGTGGAGCTGTACAGATGTACATGTAGATCAGTTTATTCCTTTGGGTTTAGCAGGTCCCTAGAGAAGCCAGTCTGTGGACAAATTTGGCGAACAAAATTAAAAGCCATTTTTTAAAGCTATAGTCCATCATTTGCAGCTATCCAAAAAGTAACTGACGTAATTATTGTTGAAAAACGAGCTTGGTTGAAAGATAGTAAGGGAACTAAACTCCCTGTGAAATTATTCTTTCTGGCAAGCTGTCGTTTTGAAGAAATCAACGAAAGAAGGCCTTTCCAACGGTGCGTCTTAAGACGCAACGTAGGAAATTTCCGTTAGTAGTTCGTTTTTTTCATTCGGCGAAGCGCATGCAAGCGTTGGCACTATGCACCCGCGCGCGCGGTTGCTATAATTCATCCATCGGTGCGCAACATCGCGTAGCTGCATTCGGCTCAGCGGAGAACGTGTCTCGGACGCTGAATTCAGGCCCAATTCAAAACATGATTCAGCAACTTTTAATATGAAATTGGATCCTAGAATGCTATTTTTCTCGGAATATACAGCTGAAGCTGAGCTGAAACTTCATCAGGTTAGTTGTTCAGCACCCTTCTTCAGATTTTTAGTACGTTTGTTGCTTCAAACGAACAAAATGCACAAATTACAAATGATGGACTATATCTTTAAGGTGGCATAATTTTGCACTCATGCCACACGCTGGCTTAACCCTAATTCACTAGTCTAGGATGCATACTCAATCCTGCAAAATCCTCCAACTGCCTCCTTATAGAAATTGCATACAGCCTCAACCCTGCAAAATCCTCTGTTTTTCTTGAATGTGTTATTTGGAGGGGTGCACCACTGCCTCAATCCTGCAAAATCCTCCAGCAATCGCTGTCAATATGTTGAGGCAGAGCCGGTGACATCCTTGACCAGCTCAGAGGACTTCAAGTATTTGTCTAATATATGTACACATGTATGTATTTAGGCCTGAATTTGTGCACAGCTGAGCATAAACAACACAATTGGTCCGGCCCAAGACCTTGACACTGCATGCTTGAAAATCAGCAACACTTGTTTTACCATAGAGCCTCAATCCTGCAAACTCCTCCATGATTTTGCAAAGAGGATTTTAGAGAATTTGGTAAGGTTTAGGGTCTAGCCGATGCACACATGCATTTGGGTATTAAACCCAGGTCGACGGAGCCCGGAGTGCATGCGTACTACCTGAGCGCAATTCACACGAGCCTGGTTCCACCTCAGAAAATGGCTGTCGCCGAATGATTCTCCTCTTTATACCTGACTGACTGACAGACAGATTGACTGACGGACAGACAGAATGACTGATTGTACTTGTAACGTGTAAATTAGACTTGCTGGCTGACTGTCAGTTGTGAACTAGACTGATTATACTTATCTCATGGACTGAATTCTTTTACTGACTTGTAAATCAGACATGTTAATTAGTACCTATTGCACTGCGTGGCTTCCACTTGTGGATTAGACTGATTACATATCTCACTGATTGACTTTTCACTTGTGAATTGACTATTGTTACCTATTTCCACCACGTTGTCATGTGATCTGCAAACATTTTAGCCATTTCAGATCAATGGAATAAACTGTTGTGTGCTCTGGGACCAGCTTTACTAGACTTGCCTAGTCCTGTTAATATAGAGATTTTCCTTCCACCTTTAAAAAAATACCACAGTTGTTATAAAAATGTCAGATTTGGTTAACTATTGTGAGCCTTGTTTTTTCTTGGTATATATAGGAGCGTATAGCTAAGGCCCATGGCTCCCAGTGTGGTTTCTGTACTCCCGGCATTGTTATGTCAATGTACACCCTGTTGAGGAACAATCCACAGCCTACCATGGAGGACATAGAGAGTGCGTTCGAGGGCAACCTGTGTCGCTGTACGGGGTACCGGCCAATCCTTCAGGGCTACAAGACCTTTACCAAGGTAAGGACCTACCTGTGTACAAGTTTTTGGGCCCCTTTTATTGTAAATGGTCAGTTCAAAATTCTGCGGGGGGAAGTGGGGGAAATAGACCCTTCCCCAACCTTGTCCCCAGTGCTCACTTTATTTCCAACCTCGTTTCCAATAGTAAACCCTGGATAGGAAACTTTCTTCCTGTATCCTGATTCGATACCGCAATTGGCTAGTAATGGATTTTTATCGTGTACTTGGTGTTATTATTCACAACGTGCAATACATGTTTTCGCGATCATTTGTAAACACCTTCTCGAAAATACTAATTTCCTTTCCAATTTGTTCATATTAATATGAAATATGATACTGCATGTTGTCTCGATAAGATCGTAAGAGTTTGATTTTAAAAAACGTGATTTCGTAACTCATGCCATGCTCGCGCTGCGACGAATTGACTCTGTTTTTACCCCAGACACGGCATACAAACACAAACGCCAATGTAATGCATATCCAGGCACCAGACTATTCCTCATTTGCATATGTGTTCAAAAATCTTGCACATGCAAATGATCCAATACCAGGCTGATCGAGAGACACCCTGGGGACGAGGTTGGACCCATCCCTATTGCCCTCATAAAGCCTTGGTGTTTGTAGGTCCGACTCTAGCTCTTCAAGCTACCACTAGTTGCCTTTGGTCATGCAGTTCATGAAACATACACATGTAGCCTGCGTGCCCACACACTCTGGTACATGTACTTTGCCATTACATCTGAGGACGAGGCATTGTGTTTCCCTTTGTGCAGTACAACATGACACGCTGCCACAGACCAAGCATACAGACTTGCGTTCAAGGACCGTTCTCAACAAAAGATGTACGTTATATGTTTGTAGTACACAAACACAAAAACACATTATGTCTTTTGTTGCACTGAAATAGATTTGTTACAGAATTTCCAAAAAATTATGATTTACCTGAAACATCTGAAAGTTTCAGAACAAAATGGCTAGTTTCTGTATTCTTACAACAAAATTATTGATTGTTATCTTGAAAATAAAACAAATACATGCCTTAGGTTGCACTTTACTCAACCACGAAAACTGACATTTAAAAAGAAAAGTATTACCACTCATAAACTATTTTGTCATTTTTAAAGTTTGCATTTTTAAATTTCAGGAAGGATGCTGTGGTGGCAATGTCACGAATTGCTGCATGAACACCGATCAGAATGGCATCAGGGAAGAAGGGGTATGTAAGATAATCACTAAAACACTTTGACTACCAAAGAGTAAACACAAGCATGACAAGGAGTGGAAGAAGCCAAACTAAAAAAGAAAAATACAAGATTCATTGATCAAAATAACTCATTTGAAATGACGAAAATCATGAATCAAACCAATGTGATGTTTTGTGTGTTTGCTATTAAAGGGAAGAAACAACATTTGCAAACATCACAAAACGAAACGATCAAATAATCACGAGATACCTCACTAGATTGTTGGGGAATGACAGTCTAAAGCATCCTGTAAAATTGTGGCTCCTGGTGTGCTGCCATTTTCAAGAAAAATGGTATTTTTCCAACGCTGGTTGGCCGACCAGCGTTGGAGAAAACTGGCTTTTTTTCAAAAACTGCTACTAATTTTTCATAATTAGTTATTCCGCGTTTTCTTTGCAATTGTTTACCCACCTGTGAAGGGGTACAAGCGTGCTAGACTGCTTCTCTGACCTTACAATTTCCCATAGTCATGATTGCTCCGATTCATCTAAAGTGGGGTCAGGGAACCAGACTACAAGAACACGATTGGTTTCATGGTTTTTCCAGCATGTACAAGCTCAAAACGTGAAACAAGTCATTTCAACAATATTTGCTATAACATACTAATCCTCCAAATCCATTTATTTTCAAAAATTGCAGCAAAAGCAAATGTTGTACATTCCCTTTTATAATACATTTTGATTTTTCAACCTTGAGATAACTGAATTGGTTAAAGACATCATTTGCAATTCACAAGATGGAATTTTGCATCGGGGTGATGTATATATCAAATTAGGTTTTTGCCCTTCACAGACGTATAAATACTGTACATGTATACTCGGCGTGCTACCTCCCAAGCAAAAGTTGAAATAAAAATCTTTTGCACTCGTCCCCAAAGTAATCAACTAAATTATTATAAAAAGCTTACTTGGATTTAGGACTGTAGTTAAACTAAATGCCCCGTGAAATTGTTCTGTGTTGCTTGCTGTCATTTAAAAGAAATCATGAAACGAAGGTGATTTCCAACGATCAGTCACTTGACTGGTTTTTGGAATAAAGAGTGCTATTGAAGAAGTTGTGTTTTGTGACCAAAAGGTTGTGCATGGATTTCCAGTTTTCTTGAAAACTGTAATATGTAGTGAGCAGAAACGTCAACACATTAGGTTTTGAACATTTGTCGTTGGATTTAGAGTGGTGTTATTATTAACGAATAAAATGCTGGAAAAGCAAAAGATGCTATATGGGCAATTCCACGGTTACTCACGTTACATTTTTGATGTACTTTTGAGTTTCCTTGGGCTGTAATTACCTTACTGAAAAGGTTTAATAACTGTTATCCCCATGGTAGATAGAGTAGACCTAGACCTACCTAAGCACCAAAGATGACATCCAGAAAAATGTGTTATGCATGATAAACAAGACGCACAAACTTGGTTCCTCACGTTATATTTTTGTAACGTGAGTAACTGATTTTGTGCTTCTTGTTTATCATGCATAACACATTTTTCTGGATGTCATCTTTGGTGCTTAGGTAGGTCTAGGTCTACTCTATCTACCATGGGGATAACAGTTTTTAAACCTTTAAGGTAATTACAGCCCAAGGAAACTCAAAAGTACATCAAAAATGTAACATGAGTAACCGTGGAATTGCCCATATGCATGTAAAGCCAAAAAAAATTGTTGCATAAGTTGGACACTGTGTTTTCCAATTTAATTCAGTTTTATTATCATTATTATGTTTTGGTTGGTCCTGTTTGAAGGTTTCCACGCAGCTTTTTGACCCGAGTGAGTTTACGCCTTACGACCCCACTCAAGAGCCAATATTCCCTCCAGAACTGATGGTAAGTTGTACCAATCAAACATTGAAATCAGGTTATTTCCAGATCCTTAATGTACCCCTCTCTTAGTGTCATTGATAGACTATAGTGCAAGTTTGCATGAAACTCTCCAAAGAGATGAGCTACAAAGGCTCCAAAAAAAAATCAAATGTAGACATAATTTGTACATGCATACATCCACGCCTTTACACCATGTACATGTACACTGTGTAAAAAATAATGGAAAGCATTTGTTTACAAAATGTTTGTTCAGACTTCTGATTTTTTTAAATTTGATTGGATTTATTTCCGAACATAACATTGTATACAGGGTGAGTAAAAAAACACAACCCAAATGTCGGGACCATTGTTTTAGTGAAGTTCTGCATGTAGCACTTTCAAAATCTAGGATATGAAAGCCCAATTAATAAGCATTCTTTTAGTACAAGAATCATTCAAATCATTCATTTACTTTTCAAGTTACGGAGTTTTACAACCACCGTTTTAAAGTTTTGTCCACGGATCACAAAAAAAGGTGTGCGTACTTTCAGCAAAATGTAAACAACTCACACACATCCTTATGGGATTTTTTTTCGTTTTGCTGAAAGAACAATGAACTTTTTGTGATCCGTGGACAGAACCTTAAAACGGCGGTTGTGTTTAAAACTCCGTAACTTGAAAAGTACATGAGTGATTTGAATGATTCTTGTACTAAAAGAAAGCTTATGAATTGGGCTTGTATATCCTAGATTTTGACAGCGCTACATGCAGAACTTTACTAAAACAATGGTCCCAACATTTGGGTTTCATGGTTTTTACTCACCCTGTATAATGAACGATTAAATTAAACAATATATACTACAAAGTGGATGCTGGCCCTTTTTCTGCAATGATGCTATATTGTGACAGTCTAGTGATACTGGTAGGCTTGCTGTGATTTAAACTAGCCTTAATTGTCCAGTTAGGAATTCTCTTAACAACCTAAGACCCTAAATCCCAGATCATAATATAGCTACATGTACTTGCACAAGTGTGTTCACTGACTGAGTGTGGTGCAGCATTGTAAATAACTGTTCCTTTCTTTGTACATTAACAGCTTATGCTGGATGAAGGGACTCTAGCAGTCCAGAAATTTGAGGGTAACAATTTGATCTGGTTACGCCCAGCCACAGTCAGCCAACTGCTTGACCTTAAGGTCAAGTATCCCCAAGCCAAAATGGTCGCCGGAAACACTGAAGTTGGTGAGTGAAGAAGCCTTGTTTATTGCACCTCGCACATAATGAGCCAAATGGGCTTCTATCATTGGTCCAGTGTGTTTTGGAAGTAGAAATAGGCATGTGCATAATCTTACAACCAATCAGTAGGAAAGAAGTACCCAAGATTGACTTGCAGTTTAAACATTTTGCAACCTCGCCTTTCTTCACATCAAAAGGTAGATATATAAGTCAACATCTCAGGACCGGATGTTTCACTCTAGTTCTTCTCAAACCATGGTGCATAACACCTCTTTTTATTATTAAAACTGACTCTGTCAAGAAGTCCTGTTAACCCTAACCGAACTCAACCCATCAAAGTCCAACAGCAGGTGTTGTTAAAATCTGTTAGAATGGGTACAGTACCCCTAAACTGATGGTCTTTTACATTGAGTTTGGCATACCTCCAGAAACTAAGTCCCACACTGTGTGTGTACGATTTCCCATGTGGGTGTTGGAATTTGCCTGAATGGGTATGGTTCCTAGTAAATTATGCTAGGGAGTTAGGTTTAATTAAGCTCAGTGCCAACTGGAGCCTGATGTAGAATGCACTGCACCAGAAAACAAGCTGCTGAATGGTTGTTGTTTGAGCACACAAAGACTGTTGGTGGCAGAGACATTCGGACTACAGATTTGTCACTAAATCAAAACTGCCGTACTGATTCCTAAACCCGGTTCATTCTTCATGTGAAAGCATATATGATGCGAATTTGACGTGTCACGGAGCATTTGCTGCGAAATTCATTGGAGTTGAAATGTGTTCAACTTTTGCGAATTCGCAGCATGAAAACTGCTTGCCCTGCATCACAAATTTGCATCCGGGTTCGCCTTCGCGCCGAGTATGAACCGACCTTTATGCAATACAGGCTGCATCCAAATTGCATTGCTACAACAGGCAATAAAACATGCACCTACAACGTATGGACCATGTCACCTGTGGCATCATACCAACAAGCAATCCAAACATGTAAACATTGTATGTTGCTTTGCCCTCATTAAACATTTCACATGTACTTATTTAAAAAATGTGACATGGTCTGTAGAAGTGGTGGAATCTTCCATACCGTAGGTCTGAGATTATTTTTATTATTATTGTTATTATTTATTATTAATCATTTCTGGTAATGAAACCAAGGATTCCTCAAAAGCGCCCAAGGCACTGTAGCTCGCAAGCCTGAAGAAACCTGTAGAGAGAAGACAATGAGAAGAAATTACAGTTTTAGAGGTGGGAGGAAAAGCCCAGAAGAATATTCTGGGGAAAACCCACAGAATCAGGCAGGGACTGAAAACCCAATCCACATGTTGGCCCAGGCGGGATTCGAACCCGGGTCACAGAGGTGGAAGGCGAGGAAAGTACCGTAACGCCAACCTGAGATTCTTTCTCAATGGACTCAAGTTAAATACAAAAAAGGACTTAAAATATAGAAAACTGCCAAGATTGTGGTCACTCAAATTTAACAGCAATAACAGTGCAGAGATTGTGAACTCAAATGTTCTGTGGCCGCATGTGATAAAAAACTAAATTTATTTATTACATTTCCTAATACACAATGTTTGCCAAAAAAACTGATAATAAAAAATAAAAAACTGGATTCCAGTAGGGCCTGGCGTAGATTACAATTTACTAAATACATTTAAAGACAAAGTAAAAAGTAAAAGGAAGTACAGACTAAAACAAAACCTTACGTGAAGAGCCTTAAATTTAACTCATAATGATCTACATTTATGAGGACCACATTTTGAACATTTTGTCTGCTTTGTCTCTCAGGTGTTGAAGTCAAGTTCAAGAATCAAGTCTATCCCGTCATTATTGATATCAACCACATTCCAGAGATGACCAGTATTGAGACCACACCCTATGGGGTGAGAGTAGGGGCCTCAGTGTCGCTGTCGTGTCTTGATGGTTATCTGAAGAAGGTCATCCAAGACCAGCCAGGTATGTGTAGTGGCTGAAAATGAGTAATTGTTAGGGATAGGAATATTGGTATTCCATTTATTAGACCAACCAATATTTCGGGCGAGATAGAAGTTGAGCTACAACCATAGAACTATGTTAAATTACTAGAGCGCTAACTCGTCATTCTGCTCGCGGAGACGCTTTGAAGCTGTCCTGGGCACAGAAATTTTGAATTCATGTGGCTGTCTGTAGAACATAATGAAAGTAGATGGATTGAATTTTGAAAGTGTACTCTAAATGCAATGCGTAAGTAGAACGTACGCAGACAACTTAAGCGCGTCATTGGCGGTTCAAAAAAACGTGACGGCAAAAAGCATCTGCAGCGAATACGTGCACGCGTTGCACTGTTGCTTAGAGCAAAATGACACGCTCATTAGCTGATCATGCGTTTCGGTTTTGGGCGTATTGGCTTCGGTAACGCACCGGTATGGAATACAAACACAGATATGCAAATAGCCGTACAAAAGCCGTACAAAATGTCTAGGTCTCCATAGGTTTGTGCACAAACATGGATGCGCCCAGCAGGCATTACTTTGTACACGAAGTTAACACTCTAGTAATTTAATACAGCTCTATGGCTACAACCTTGCCTGAAATACCATGATTATGAGTCCAGACCTCAATTATAAAACAACTCGGATTGTCTGTCTTCTTTTTTTTTATTTGTTTTGAACCATTGTGAATTTCTTTTTAACTACACCTATGTAATTTGGAACTTCTTATGATAGATCATTTTTGTTTATTATGAATGAAAATATAAGAAATATCATGTGCATTGTGAAAGCAAAAGGTATTTTTTTTAAATTGTTTATTTTAACCCTTTAACTTCCATTGTTTTTCCTGTGTACAACAAAAATGCCCATTTTGTTGGTCTTTATGTGGACAGAACATAAGACACGCATCTATGCAGCCATTGTGGAGATGCTTCGCTGGTTTGCTGGACATCAGATCAGGAATGTCGCTGTGAGTTTATTTTTCCACATTTGTTGTTCTGAAGGCTAGTGGAGTAAACCCAGAGAGTTGACAAATTGCAACATAAGTTTAACACATAGTAGCAGTGAGTGGTGGTTTGTATTTAACTTTGAGGGTGTGGATTGTAGGCAAGCCACAGGGATGATAATTGACTATTAAGAGTGAGGTGTGTAGCCTAATAATGATGAAATGGATGATATGAGAATCAAATATGATTTCATGATTTGAAAACTCAAATTACATTCAGTAACTTTTTACATGTAGGTGAGTTGGCATGAAAAGTTGTCGTTTTGTTTGAAAACCACAGAACACGGATTTTCAGTTCTCATGCGACTCTGTTCATGTATGGCTTTACGATCTATAGAGGACAGACACACAATTTGAGAACAAAAGATCCTTTCGGTCCTCGAGCGTTGGGTCTTTTTGTTGAAAATGGTCCTTGATCATACGATTAGGTGCTTATTCTATGGGAGAGTGTTATATTACTGGGACAAATGGAAACACAAAGCATTGTCCTCGGGCATATAGAAATTCACGAGTGGCTGGACAAACACATGTATGTTAAGACACTTTGGGAAACAGTCGGTAGTTTTACTCCGTTATTTTGTCAGGAAACAAATCAATGTATCAAAAACACCTTTCGTTTTGATCTTTGCAGAAGTTAACATGATGTAATTACTTTTATCTTTGTATTTTATGCCTCTGCCCGTTGTCAATATCCAATCAGTGTTTGGGTGGTAACATAGCGACCGGGAGCCCCATATCGGACATGAATCCCCTGCTCATGGCTGCAAGGTGTACCCTGGAGCTCACCTCCAAACAAGGTAAGAATCAAAAATCCATCTGCAAGCTACCGTCAATGTATAACAGCTTAGTCTGTCTTTATTTAACCTCGTAATTGGTTTCTAATTCCCAAAAATTAGTAGTCCAGATAAAAATTTGTGCATTTGCTTTTTCATTTGATGCAACACAATTGCTGAAAATCTTAAGTAGAGTACATAACAACTAGCCTGTTGAAATTTCCGCTCACTTGCTTACGCACGTAAAACGTGTGCCCGCAGGCATCCTATTTTGAAACCACCTTCAATATTAGTTTCGTCCAAACAACACCACTTCAGGGGGAACAACTTCACAGGGTACATGTACATGTATTTGATACCAGTCCTATCTTCACTTTGAGCAATGTTTCGCTCAGTAAAGTGGAAGGCACTTTTCAGGGTAATTACAAAATGATCCCACGTATCTTTAAAATTATATAAACTGATCAAGTATTGAGTCCTTGTGTACAATGTACTACAAATTGTATTGAGTTTGAAAATATGACGTGCGTAGTTTGAAACTTCACTTTTTCGGGGCGGGCTAAAACATAGGGGTAATTAGTTTAAGGCACCTAATCTCAGAAGATATTTGGCAAGGATTGAAAAATAAAAAGGACAATTTCTGTAAATTTTTTCTTCATAAATATTTCTTAATTAACCAAGAATTAACCAAGTAAAACAAACTCAGATTTAGGACTTGGACAGAACTTTTTGTAACTACATGTACATGGCCTGCTTGAACAATGCCCTGCCTACTGCAGGAATGGCTTCTGTATTTTTCTTGACTTTGAGTGTAAATACTTTTGACCATTTATTGAACAGGTTCACACGCAGTTACCATGGATGGCAACTTTTTCACTGGTTACCGAAAAAATATCATCGGCCCGAATGAGGTCATCCTAGCTGTTAATATTCCATTCACATCAGAGGTGAGAGTTACCATTTAAAAAATTGGGAGTCACAAATACTACTCACATATTGTAGATGCTAGAAATAAAAGTAATTGCATGTATAGTGTAAGCTTTTTAAGATGCCAATGTCTGGTACTTGGTACTTGGTAATTGGTTGGTTCTTCTCCTAAGGACTTCCACAAGGGAGTATAACTAGGAGGCCAGAAACACCGGGGCAAACCCCCTTCTCTTTTAATAGCGATAAGTGTTACTGGGTTCTTTTACGTGCGTTAGGCCTTATACAACACATGGGACCTCCGGCTTAACGTCCCATCCGAAGGACGAAGCAATAATGGTTAAGTGCCTTGCTTAAGGGCACAAGTGCCCGGGCATGGGCTCAAACCCATGCCACCGTTGCATCTGAAACACCAGAGCATGAGTCCAGTGCTCTTAACCGCTAGGCCATGACACTCCACTGAAATTGATGGATTTATTTTTTACCTGCATGACTGTTTGTTTTCTCTTTAATGTCTGCATTTTTGAAAACTTTTTTGGTGCCTAAAGGCATGCTTTCATTCTTTGGTGTTTATTTGTATTCCTGTTGTCTAGCTGGGTGTTTAATGTTTGATATAATAGGAAAAAAGAACAAAAAATGGACTTAACATTTATTGAATGACCCATATATAAACTTGAAATGTTCTTGTTTGTTTAAATGTGTGTTTAGGACATGGACAAATACACTTCATGTCTATTTGTGCGTGAATGATAAACAAAACCCGAATTGAGTTGACTTTGATTCAATCCACAGAACGAGTATTTCTACGGCTTCAAGCAGGCCCCACGACGTGAGGATGATATAGCCATAGTGAATGCTGGCATGAGGGTCCTCATGAAACCTGGCACCAACGTGGTAGAGGATTGTACCCTGGCATTCGGTGGCATGGCTCCTACATCGGTGCTGGCCTCAAAGACCATGGCAAGCATCAAAGAAAGGTCAGTTGCTTTTTTCAGGCTTTAAAACTTGTATCATGCATATTAGAAGGAAAGATTTTCAATAAGATATTTAATTTTCAATAACATCGTCAGGCTTAATTGTAAATTACTGGTTAAAGGGGCGCTAGGTCCTGAATTCCCCGAAAATTTCATGTTTTGGATTGTTTACTTAGCCTATTTCAAACATCTGGTTGAAAGGAAACCAACCTAATATCTTACCGTTCCCGAGAAACGACGAAAAAAACCCGCTTGTTTACATCGGACACGACGGAGTACGATTACGTTTTTCGTGTCGTTCTCAGTGTACGATATACACGTTGTGTGTCTCAGGAACAGCGGTGACCAATCACCAATGCCAAAAATATGGTTTCTCCAACGTCCGCAAAAGGCGAACACTTTACGAATGAGATCACAACTAGCATCAAAACAGCTCGAATTTTTGGGGTTGCAAAAGTGGACCCCGAAATTTGTTTTCGCACACATACTACAGGAATAACACAAAAACGCCCAGTTTTTAAAGGATAGTTGTGTGGATGTTTATATCCTACTTTTAAACGTTCTTTCCGATTAACATCATCTCGTTCAAAGTGCGTTTTGTAGCCCAATTGGACTGTTCCAGGACCCAGTGTCCATTTAATGGTAAACTGGTCAATGACAGTTTTGGTAATGTGTAATTTAACCATCTAGCATTCTAATTAGACATACATTGGGCAAATTTGTCTCAATGGTGTTGAATTGAAAAAGTAATTTTTGTTGTCATTCATTTCAGTGCTTTGGTCAGTTGTACTCTGTTCGTGATTTCTTGCATAGCAAGATAGGGATATAGAGGACGGATATTCTAGGTGTGCTCTTGAAATTGTGCCCTGGTTTCACCCAACTGTTTTTATGTTATGTTTTTGACCAGGCACTGGGCTGACGGTTTAGTGGAGGCAATGTGCCCGTTATTGGCCGAGGATTTGCCCCTACCCCCTGGGGCACCGGGCGGCATGGAACCCTACCGACAGTCACTCACCCTCAGCTTCTTCTTCAAGTTCTACCTTGGGGTCTTGGAGGAGTTGAAGCTCAAATTGGTGAGTGACCATTTTGTTCTGTAATTCTGTCTGTCCCCGTGAACCACGTACATGTAAAAAATAATCCCTTGACCCTAACTCCCTGGCATGATTTACTAGGAACCATACCCATCCTGGCAAATTCCAACACCATATGGGAAAGTGCACACACATATTTCTGACTAAATTTGATTCTGGAGGTGTGCCAACACAATGTAAAAGACTGTCAGTTTAGGGGTACTGTACCCATCCTGACAGATTCCAACAAAACGTGCCGTTGGGGTTTGATGGGTTGAGTTCTGTTTGGGTTCATTAATGTCGTGTTGCTTGATCATGCCTGTTTGTTATAAAAATGATTCCGTTATATTTTTGAGTAATATATCTTTATTTTTGAGGAATATTTTTATTGCAGTAAGACATTTTTACTTTTTTTCATTTCTCCTCATTAAGCCTGGTCTGAGTGACACATCTATCCCTGCGTCCTTCAAGTCGGCCAATCAGCAGTACCATAAGAACTCGGCTCGGGGAGTGCAGATGTATCAGGTAATCTTAAAATGGCGGTTGTGTTTAAAATTCTGTAACTTGAAAAGCACATGAGTGATTTGAATGATTATTGTACTAAAAGAAAGCTTATGAATTGGGCTTTCATATCATAGATTTTGAAAGTGCTACATGCAGAACTTCACTAAAACAATGGTCCCGACATTTGGGTTTCGGTTTTTTTTACTCACCCTGTATTGATGATGAATCATTTCCTGTCGCTGGTCTGATCAACACATTAATTTCATATGACTTTATATTGGGCGTCCCAAAATCCGGAACTCTCCTCAGCCATTTGGAGAACTCCTGATGAGAACACATTTTGAAAATAATTGGCGTTCCCAACAGAAGTAGGGCATTCCATTATTAGCACCGGAACTACAAAGTGTTACATTGTGTTTGTTTACTGATAAATCAAAAAACCATAGATTGCTCTGGCGGCCTCAGGCAGTACAGATTTGAACAATCTGCTTGTTGAATGCGGAACACCAGACTGTCTCTATTCTTCCTGCTGGGAGTGGTATCAACAGCCATGTAGTTACGAAGGCCTAAGTGTCCATTTGTCAAACAAAGTTAATCCGATTACATAATTAGATGCTATACTTCGCAACTACACGGCTGTTTTCAAGGGCATCACACATCAAAGAGTCAGTGCCTTTAAATTCTGTAATGCTTTGACCAATTGAGTAATTCGGGCGTTTCACAATGCAGTGCGCCACCAAGAGTTAGCCACAGAGAGTTCATTTTTCCCGGTGCATTATGGGATATGGTCGACAAATTTGCAGCGCGGGTCATTTGAAATAGTTAGTTTTTTCCAGTCAGTAGTTTCGTAAGCATGATTCGAGTATCTGTTTGCCCTTTTCTTTTCTCTTTATCACTGTAGACTTTTTTTTGTAAGGCGGCTGAACGCTATGCCCCAATCTATAACAAATTAGCTCAAGTTGTCTACTGACACTCATTCAAATGGGCCATGTTTTGTCGACCGTAAACTTGAATAATGGACTCTCCACGGCAAACTCTTGGCGGCGCACTGCATTGTGAATCGCCCGAATTGAATAATTACATTTGGCTCATAAAATATGAGGGACGGTACAGTAATAAGTCATCCCATGCCCTGTTAGGCATTGAGAAGCTCCATTGCTGGCATTTGAATCATTTGAATATTAAGCGCATTAGTCAGCCACGTTTGGCAGGGGTCTTCTATTTTCATGCCCAACAAAATGTCCATTTCTTCATCAGGAGGTCCCTGCAGGTCAGCCTGATTCTGATGCTGTGGGCCGACCTTTGACCCACCTTGCTGCCCTCAAGCAGGTCACCGGTGAAGCTTTGTACGTCGATGACATTACACCAGCAAGAGGTGAACAAATCTCTGTCCTTCCTTAAAATAAAAAAAAGAGTTCTTAACTAATACCTCTTGAGCAACTTGGAATGTAATGCCTACCAATTTGAACAGAGTCCCAGTGTTGTAGCTGAGTCCATCACAAGTCTGACACAAGTCCAGTCAAGAGTAAATCAAAAAGCCCTTTCACAAGTCCAGTCACAAGCAACTGGGGATGAACAATGACACAGAAATGTTTTTGTCAACATTTGTTCGATAAGCTTGTGACTTGACTTAATGGATTATGATGGATTATGAGGACTTGTGATGGATTATGAGGACTTGTGATGGACTCGACTACAACAATGCAAACTCCAACAGTTTATTTTCATACATATCAACAACAATTTGTTACTTGTTAATGTACTGTAGATATCAGCACTTTTGGGATTCGTTGAGGTTTACCTGTAGACTTTATTATCTTTATTTTTGTTAACAGACGAGCTTTATCTTGGCATGGTGTGTAGCAAGAAAGCCCATGCAAAGCTACTGTAAGTGCTTAAGATTAAATCTTTTATTCAAGCAGACCATACCAAGGTATTAAGATGCTATTGTACATTGCTGCGTGAGTTGTTATAAAGCGTGTCACGTGATCTGTTTAGTTAGCGTGATCAATGAAAACGTAGTTGCGCGGCGAGGCGCAGTACATCAGTCTACTGGTAGCCAGGGAACTGAGCACTTGCAGTGTTGACCCGCTGGTGAGCGTGCGAGAGGCACGCATATAACGGAGGTCTGGACTGCACCACCACGTCTGAGTGACGAGCCAGCATACTTGGTTGGGCCTTGTGAGTATACATGTACACATTGTTGAGTGTGTTTGCTTAGGTATGCTGCAGCATTGGTTGCAGACTCATACATGCTGTTTGAGGAACACATTTTGCGAGTGGACCCGCTGCATAGGCTGTACAATCTACCAGTTTGGTTGTGTTACTTAATAAATATGTTGACCCTAATGACTGCTGTCACTGTCTCCATCATTGCATGCTTCTTTGACTCGATACAGTTGTCTTGTTCCTCAGTCCATTGTCGTGCCTGTGGATGGGGATATGGATATACATATCCACTCGCCACACTCAGACGCTCAGGTGCCGGGGTGCGGGTACAGAGAACCGCCACCAATGGTGTCAGAAGTGGGATGTTTACAGGCAGATAATCAGCTGCTGTACAAGTAACTTTTGCCACAAGATTTTTTTCATCTAACAAGTTCCCTCTTTTAAGAGAGGAAGACATCTGCAACGTTCTCTCAACTGGAGACACTCGGAGGTCCGTTTCTAGATTCCATTGACGGGAACCCCATGACACACACATGTAGTTCAGCCCACAAATTTGTTTTCAGCTATTGAGCAATTACTCTCAACCGAAACCAGTCACTGGAGGAGAGTATGGACACTATAGACAACTCTGGGAGGAAGTGAAAGTAAGCACCAACACCTCTGTCAGTGTGAGGCGTGCAACACAGCCCTTGACACTGACTCAAGCACACCTCTACAAGTATGCACGTGTGGAAAGTGCAGGAAGCTGTTCATTCTGGAATCTGAACCACAACCTCCAGGTTGAGAGTGGCCCACCCTTTATGCCAGGTATCGACGTTGCCTTATTCGAAGTAAGCGCCAGGACAAACTCGGGGTTTAAAATACCCGCTGGACTAGTGGACTGAGGCCAGTGATTTTTGGCATCTGTCTTGCAGCATCAATAACAATACAAGTGTTTTTTTCCCCTTAACATTTGCTAAATTTATTTACATGTAATTTCAAAGTTTATGTAAACATTTAGAAAAATGAGGTTAAGTAAGTGCATTTCCTTTCTTTTTATAATCTTTATGTTATGCCACTAGATTTTAAATATGTGGGGAGTTGACCGATAGCAAGTCGATCGCTGGTACACAATTCTGCACCTTATGTAAAGACCTATGGTGGATACCAGGTTGTCTGGATTCAGAATACTTGCATACACATGCACATGAGCAGCATGCAAGACTATGTACGCGCAAATAAAACATTGTGTGGCTGGGGTGCGACTGAAGTGTTTATTATCAGGCATAGTCCCGAGCGTGCTCCAGACTTTAAAGTCTCTTCGGATATGTGTGCCGTGCTTACCAGCAGGTTTGGCAATCACGTGCATGGTATTTTTTTTCCCGTGAAATTCATTGATGGCTAAATCTGTAGGTAAATAACTAACTGGTTTGAATGGCAGTTAAATTAATTGTTAAAATTAAATTAATGTACAAGCACATTTGTTACATTACTTTTAATGAGTTTTTACATGTATAATAAAACGATTGGTTCATGATCCCTTTTGTTGTTATTGTGTTGGTCTTGTAAAATGTGTTCCAGTCCAGTAATTTTTAAGAGGAACTGGCCCTGCGGTCCAGTGGGTTTTTTTCATGATGTTTGACCCCTGAACCTATGATGGCATTAAAGATGAAAGCATTCCATTCATTTGGATAACATGAATCTCATCTGCATGGAGACCAAAGTTGAGAGGGAACAGCGACTGCGCACCATGACTGGGAGTTTTTCATCGTTGATAAATCCAGCACAGACAGGAGAGACATCCGTTGCCATCGTACTAGCGGAACCCTCCCAGAACATTGCCATGCCAAGATGCCTACACCACCCCTGCCCTGAGTAACTGTGGCAGATATTTAGCCACCAAGGCGCCACCGTGCTCCCATCAAGACTGCTACACGAACAGACCCATGTGGTGGTACCAAAGAGATGAGTGCACCTCCAGTGGTAGCTGCCTTTGTGACACAACTGCCTGCTGACACGATCGAGGAGTGACTTCAAGTTCCTGATGATGACTTGTCTCTGGCCCCTTCTACCACATTGACAGCTTCCCCACCTCCAGATCCAGCACTATAGTTGCCATCATACCTGCTGAGGAACCATGACCATGGGCATAGTACCTCCAGCCATATCAACCAAGAGACCCGCTACTACTGCATCTTCCTTACCTACCGCACCTTTTTACCTACCAAGGGTCCCAGATCACCCTGAACGACCGTAGCTGGAACAGCACGCTCATTGAACCCTATCTCGTGTTACATGTGACTGACCATTCAATATTGTTCTTTGTATGTTACTTCCTTTCTCTTGGTTCGGGCTAGCGTGCCTGTCTGGGATTCATGCTTTAAAGCTTTGCTTCTTAATGGGTCCCTCTGCAGTATCTTCAAAACATTCACTTTCTGTATAGTGTGTTGTATTATTTGTAACTATTTTCTCTTATTGATTGATTGAGGGGAGTCAGGTTGGCGTAGCGGTACTTTCCTCGCCTCCCACCGCTGTGACCTGGGTTCGCTTCCCGCCTGGGCCAATATGTGGATTGGGTTTTCAGTCCCTGCCTGATTCCGTGGGTTTTCCCCAGAATATTCTTCTTGGCTTTTCCTCCCACCTCTAAAACTGTAATTTCTTCTCATTGTCTTCTCTCCATTAATCCATCCTGTTATTGGCGCTTGCGCTGTTGGATGTGGCTGAAATAAAATTAATTTTTTGATACTGTGCAAATAAATAAACCTTGACCCTTGAAAATCCCTCGGGAGGCGTGGATTGTGATGCATCAGACACCGAAGTCTTCTCCATCCAAAGAGAGTGATGTCCCAGATGAGCATTCCTCTCCAGAACAACCAAAGTTGACCGTTTTCATCCAACAATCCAGGAAAGAGCTGGATATCGACCTTGAGGAGATATTGAGAGGGACTCATCGTCACCAAGTATCAATTGGACATCACAATCGAGGAACAGAAGAGGAGGCAGGTTTTTGACGTCATCTTCGACCCGCCGAGTTAAATACTGTATGAGTGATGCTCCCATAGGAGACACTTCATTGTTTAAAGATTTTATTAGTGTGTTCCTAACAAGTTGTTGTTAAAGGAAACAAGACTTTAGAATATCTCCAGTATTAAAGTTAGTAGAAACTACCTTTGTGTTATTTCGATGACATTGTTGTAATCTTTATCCATGAAATTTGTTAGTTTATTGTGTTTAAGCTTCCGGGCATAGTTGCACAAGGAGGCACAGTGTGTCAGTCTGCTGGTAGCCAGGGAACTGAGCTCTTGCACTGTCAACCAACTGGTGAGCATGCGAGAATTTAAAATCTCTTCGGATATGTGTGCCGCGCTTACCAGCAGGTTTGGCGATCACGTGCATGGTATCTTATTCCGCAAAATTCATTTATGGCTAAGCTAAATTCGCATTTAAATTACTCTGGTTTGAATGGCAGTTATAAAGTCATTTTTCTTTTGAGATAAATGTGCAAGCACGTGTATAACATAAATTTTAGTGAGTTTTTACATGTACATCTATAATAAAACAATTTGTTCATAATCGCTTTTGTTTTTAATGCGTTGGTCTTTTAAAATGTGTTCCAGTCCAGTAAGTTTTAAAAGGAACTGGCCCTGTGGTCCAGTGTTGTTGTTTTTTCATGAAGTTCGATCCCTCAACCTACAAGGGCATTAAAGATGAGAGCATTCTGTTCATCTGGATGACATGGATCTCATCTGCATGGAGACTAAAGTTGAGAGGGAACAGCGACTGCGCACCATGACTGGGAGTTTTTCATCTTGATATATCCAGCACAGACAGGAGAGACATCCGTTGCCATCGTACTAGCGGAACCCTCCCAGGACATCGCCATGCTAAATTGCCTACACCACCGTTCCCGGCCCTGCAGAGCTGTGGCAGATTTAAAGCCACCGAGGCCCCATCGTGCTCCCGAGACTGCTACCGATCAGACCCATCTGGTGGTACCAAAGAGATGAGTGTACCTCCAGTGGTAGCTGCCTTTGTGACTCAACTCCCTGATAACACGATTGAGGAGCAATCTCACATTCCTGATGATGACTTGTCTCTGGCCCCTTCTATCTACCGTACCACTTTGACGTCTACCCCACCTCCAGATCAAACACTAGTTGCCAACATCCCTGCTGAGAAACCAGCCATGACAAAGGGCATAGTTCCTCCAACCATACCAACCAAGAGACCCGCTACTGCCGCACCTTCCTTACCTACCGCACCTTTCTTACCTACCAAGGCTCCCAGATCCCCCTGAACGACCCTAGCTGGAACAGCACGCTCATTAAGCCCTACCATGTATTACGTGTGACTGACCATTCAATATTGTTCTGTGTATGTAACTTCTTTCACTTGGTTCGGGCTCAATTAGCGTGCCTGTCTGGGGCTCATGCTTAAAGGCTTTGCTTCTCAATGTGCTCCTCTGCAGTATCTTCAAAACATTCACTTTCTGTATAGTTTGTTGTATTATTTGTAACTATTTTCTCTTATATTGATTGATGTTTTGGTACCGTGAAAATGAACAAACCTTGAACCTTGAAAATCCCTTGGGAGGCGTGGATGGCGATGCATCAAAGACACAGAAGTCTTCTCCATCCGAAGAGAGTGATGTCACAGATGAGCATTCCTCTCCAGAACAACCAAAGTTGACCGTTTTCATCCGACAATCCAGGAAAGAGCTACATGTAGTGCCAGACATCGACCTTGAAGCGCCATTGAGAGGGACTCATCATCACTAAGTATCAATTGGACATCACAATCGAAGAACAGAAGAGGATGCGGGTGTTTGACGTCATCTTCGACACCAAGTTAAACACTGTATGAGTGATGCTGCCGTTGGAGACACTTCATTGTTTAAAGATATTCTTTATGTGCTCCTAACAAGTTATTATTAAAGCAAACAAACTTTTAGAACATCTCCAGTATTAAAGTTAGCAGGAACTACCTTTGTGTATTTCAATGAAATGTTGTAATTTTTATCCTTGAAATTTGTTAGTTTATTGTGTTTGAGCTTTCCGGCATAGTTGCGCGGGCATAGTTGCACAAGGAGGTGCAGCGCATCAGTCTGCTGGTAGCTGGGGAACTGAGCTCTCGCACTGTCGACCCACTGGTGAGCATGTGAGAGATGCACATACATGTATACTTCCAGACGTCCAGACTGCACCGCCACATCTGATTGTATTGTATGCGCCGCACTCAGACCTACAGGTGTTGAGTGTGGGTAAAGAGCATCGCCACAAATGGTGTCAGAAGTGGGATGTGTGCAGGCAGATAATACATGTAGACTGTTTTACGAGTAACTTTGGCCACAAGATTTTATTCATCCAAAATGTTCCCTCTTTAAAGGAAGGAAGACTTCTGCAAAGTCCTCTCAACTGGAGGTACTCGTAGGTCTATATCTAGGTTTCATTGATGGGAATTCAGGAAACATGTATACACGTACAAATGTGCACACGAGAAGCATGCAAGACTATGTATGCTCAGACGATATCCAAATTTCTTTGCATTCATCGACATGATAGAAGTACATGTACATGTACCAGTACATGTACATGTACCTGTACATGTACGCCAGGCAAAGAACGTTGTGTGGCATGGTTGCGACAACATGTTATATTTACGCATAGTCCCGAGCATGCAGACTTTTAGTCTCTTAGGATATGTTTGCCGCACTTAACAGTATGTTTGGCGATCAGGTGCATGGTATCTTTTCCGCGAAATTCATTGATGGCACAGCAGTTAAGCTAACTTCGCAAGTAAACAACTCTGGTTTGAATGGCAGTAAATTTTTTTTTTCTTTTGAGATAAATGTACATGTGCAAGCACATGTATTACTTTAATTTTAATGTGTTCTAACATGTATATGAACATCTATAATAAAATCATTTGTTCATAATCGCTTTTGTTTTTTTTGCAGTGGTCTTTTAAAATGTGTTACAGTCTAGTAAGTTTTAAGAGGAACTGGCCCTGCGGTCCAGTGGGTTTTTTCATGAAGTTTGACCCTAAACCTACGACGGCATTAAGATGAAAGCATTCTTTTCATCTGGATGACATGAATCTCATCTGCATGGAGACCAAAGTTGAGAGGGAACAGCGACTGCGCACCATGACTGGGAGTTTTTCATCGTTGATATATCCAGCACAGACAGGAGAGACATCCGTTGCCATTGAACTTGCAGAACCCTCCAAGGACATTGCCATGCAAGGTTGCCTACACCAACCCGGCCCTGCGGAGCTGTAGCGGGTATAGAGCCATCGTGCTCCCGAGACTGCTACACTTCCAGACCCATCTGGTGGTACCAAAGAGATGAGTGCACCTCCAGTGGTAGCTGCCTTTGTGACACTTCTCCCTTATGACACGATCGAGGAGTGACCTCACGTTCCTGACAATGACTTGTCTCTGGCCCCTTCTACCACGTTGACATCTTCCCCACGTCCAGATCCAACACTGTAGTTGCCATCATCCCTGCTGAGGAACCATGGCCAAGGGCATAGTACCTCCAACCATACTGACCACAAGTCCTGCTACTACAGCACCTTCATTACTTTCAGAGGCTCCCATATTCCCCAGAATAACAACATGTGACTGTTGTCATCCAGCAATCCGGGACTGAGTTAGTGCCAGACATCTCCTTTGAGGAAACATTGAGAGGGACTCATAGTCACCAAATATCAGTCTGGCATCACAATCGGGGAACAGGAAAGAACGAGGGTGTCTGACGTCGTCTATCTTCGACGCCGAGTTTAAGAAGAAGAAAGGAATGTGAGCTTATTGAGTCCAAATCAAATACTATATGAGTGATGCTCCCGTTGGAGATACTCCATTGTTTAAAATTGTTCTTATTGTGTTTTCAATACAACCTGTTAAAGCAAACGAGACTTAGAATATCTCCAGCATTAAAGTTCGCAGGAGGTACCTTTGGTATTTGACAAAATTGTTGTAATTTTTAATCAATGTAATTTTTATCAATGTTAGTTTATTGTGTTTAAGCTTTTGGATCAGGCGCAGTTATGCGGGCATGGTTGCACAAGGAGGCGCAGTGCATAAGTCTGCTGGTAGCCAGTTAACTGATCAATCACAGTGTTGACCCGTCGATGAGCATGCGAGAGGCGCGCATATACTGCCAGAGCTGCGGACAACACCGGACTTGAGCCAAGTGCAGTGATACATGCTGTTGGAGGTGAGCATTTGGCGTGTGGGTCTGCTGCATAGGCTGTAAAGAGTGTCATCTACATTTGTACCAGTTTGGTTGTGTTACCCAATAAATGTGTTGAACCTGATTACTTCTGTCACTGTCTGCTTCATTGCATGCTTCATTGACTCGATTCAGTCATTTTGTTCGTCAGTCGTTGTCTTCCCAGTAGACGGAATATATTTTCCCCAAACGGACGGCCTCTGCATATCTACTCGTGCGCGCCACACTTAGTCGCGCGAGTGTCAGGGCACGGGTAGAGGAAACCGCCGCGCCATTTATACTGGGGTGCTACCACTCTTGCATGCAGATTATACAGAAGCACTTGATGATCCTTCAAATTTACCAATTTAGGCGTGCACCTCAACTTTCAGAACACACGGGCGTGACATGAGCGCAAATTTGATACCCTTTCAGTATATGGCTAAGAAATTTGTTGAATTTTAACCTTAAAGATTTGAGAGTTGCCACATGAGATGATGATGTTCGTCCATCGATGTTGATGATGACCCCAACTTCAACTGCTGTTCAAGGTGGCTAATGAGTCCTATCCGGGCACGGAACTCTCTGCCACAGGACTTGCATTTTGGGGCATCGGTTGGCTGGGCTGATGGGCTGGCGCTGCTCTGGTTTTCCCTGCTGTGCGCTTGTTTTCAGCTACAGCTCTGGGATGCTGCTCGGCGAGCTATATGCTCCTCTCTTCGTCAGGCTGCACCAAGAGGGCCGGTCTGCTGCCAGGTTTTCCCAACTTTCGACGGGTATCTCAAGGCTCTTCAAGGTGGTCTTCAGGTTGTCCTGGAAGCGGAGCTTGGGTCGTCCGACGGCACGCTTGCCATCTGCCAGTTCACCATACAAGAGTAGCTTTGAGAGCCTCTGGTCATCCATGCGCCTGACGTACATGTATCCAGCTGATCAGTTTGCGAAGGCAGACTGTGTGGAAGTGGTTCTTCCATCTCACATGTCTGCTGTAGACAGTCCACGATTTGCAAGCATAGATCAGCGTTGTAATCTTAACTTAAAAGATTTTGGGAGATTGTACAATATCATTCTGTTTTTAACCTTTTGACATAATTTTAGAGAACACAGAGAGAGGAGGTGGAGTTTTTGTTTTCCTTGTTCATAGTTTTTTATAAATACATGTATTTAGATTTCATTACGGCATTCCTATATCATAATCATTTATGCGATTTTTAACTAGGGAAAAAGTTTTAATACAAAAACTAAAATGACAATTTCTCATCTTGGCAGGTCAGTAAATGCGACTGCAGCCCTGGCACTAGAGGGTGTCCATGCCTTTGTGGATGTTAATGATGTGCCAGGCTGTAATATGATCGGTCCCACTGCACCACAAGATGATCCCGTCTTTGCTGATGGAGAGGTTAGAATTTCTAGACCTTTACTCTTTTTTTGGAAGTGCTTGAAACCTAACTTCCTGAAAGTTTGCGTTCCCCATGCTGTTCAACAAATTCGTTTTTTTTTCCTCTATTACTAAATGTTTAACATGTGGATTTTTATTCCAACCAAACAAATCACTTTTCCCCCTTTTTTTGGACAGCTGCAACCCAGGGTTTTGTTTTAGGTACAAACAGATCCGATTTGTGAGCAGACTGGTTCCTGGTCTGTACATTATCGACACTGATTTTGGGGTGGGAACAAGCTTACGGAATTATTGCCAAGCAGCCAGAAATTCAAATTTTGTAAAGCAATAATTAAATAACTAAACACAGGCCGGTTTAGTTTGATGTAGCCAACATCCTTGGGCACTGTTATCTTGCCCTTTTAATAGTGACTACTATAAACCGGATCATCGCATAACCAACTATAAACAAACCTTCCCAGATTAATTACATCTTTCTATACCTTAAAAGTAGATGAATACGTGTGAAGGTATTAAACCTTGCAAATTGCTTCATTTGGAGAGTGTAATTTCATTTTAAAACCCTAACCACCCTGACTCCTTCAAAATCCTCTTTGCCAAAGTGGAGGAATTTGGAGGATTGAGGTTACATGGCAAAAGTGCATTACTGATTTCGTAGGATGCACTTTGTCAAGGACTTGGGCCGGACCTTGTGTTGTTTTTGCTCAGCCGTGCATAAATATAGGCCTGGATTATGCTTGAAATCTTCCGTACTGCTCCAGGGTGTCACTGGCCAAATATTGACAGTCACTGCTGCAGCATTTTGCAGGATTCAGGCAGTGGTCACCCCTCCACGGACCATATTCAAGAAATAATGGAGGAGTTTGAAGGATTGATGCTATATGCTATTTTTCCACGAGGCCAATTGGAGGATTTTGCTGGATTGAGGCTACATCCTAGCAAAAAGGCCTAGGGAGTTAGGGTTAAAAAGAACATTTGAAGTCTCAAATCTTTAATACAAAGGCAACAAACCCCCCAGTGAAACTAAATATTTTGAATTTCAGTTTAAACTTAGTGTGATATTTTTAATGAATCATTTACATTGTATATTGATTTGATAGTTGTGCAGTGTTGAAACTGTTTTCTCAGCTGTGACTGAAACTGTTTTGGTTTGAATTTTATTTAACCACAAATGCCTTTGTGTATTGCAGGTGGTTCACGTGGGCCAGCTGATTGGTCTGGTGGTTGCAGACAGCCAGGCCATTGCCCAGAAGGCAGCTAAACTCGTCCAAGTGGAATATGAGGAACTACCGGCCATCATCACCATAGAGGTTAGTAGGAGGGAATTTGTTTGTTGCGAACTCACAAGTCAGGTCTCAGCAAACAGGGGATGAGCACTTAAAAAAAAGGAAAGCCTGTTTCACATTTCAATTGAATCATTTGTGATGTCAATTTAGACTGGATGACATAGGATTGGCTTGTGGTAACTCGCTCACAACTCCGTTTTAATGTGGCGTCTAGCTTCTGACTTTGACAACTGTTTCATGTGTTGTTTGTTCATGTTTTGGTTTTTTTGGAATTGTTTTCTTGGTTTGTTTTTGATTCCTCTATTAAATCACGGATCCTCTACACAAGGATAAACGACTCATCTGAGCTTGTGTACAAGATGTATGGAGCGGATTGTCTACATGCGTCCGCGCATAGAACAATGCATAGAACATGTAGAACATCTATGCGTTGCTCGCACTGCGAGGGATTGGAATGTCTTGCCACAATCTGTCATCCAGGCACCAACTGCCGATACATTTAAAGGGGCTCTAACTAAAAATTAAGCCGTCTCTCGCATCACACCCCACCAAAAGTGCTGTAGTCTTTCAATTGTGAAGTTAGCACTCAACTGGAAGAAGAGAAGAAGAACAATGTGCGCGCGTGCCCGACAGCTAGCTGGCACCCTACAAATTTGACTGTAGAGTCGTGCGTGCGTGCGCGTCTCGCACACACGCATGCACGATGCCCAAGTGCTGTATTATGTAAGTAACCGGAAATTTGGGGAAGTCGTTTATCCTTGTGTAGAGGATTGGTGATTAAATGCAGCTGGTCCGGATCCTGAACCGTGCCAGAGGGTAGAGGGCACCACCAAAGAGATGAATCAAACCCAGTCTTGAGAAATTCGGCACAGGGACCAGTGATGTAGTTGAGTCCACCGCAAGTCCGTTAAAGTCCTTTCATTAGTAAATCACAAGTCCATTCACAAGTCCAGGCACAAGCAACAGGGGATGAACAATAACAAAGGAGTGTCTTTTTCACAGTTCATTTGAATAGCTTGTGACTTGAATCAAGACTTGTGAGGACTTGTGACAGACTCGACTACAACACTGAGAAATTCCAAGCATACCTCGTGTGCTCGATTAGCGTGATTGATCTTGTTGACCAGTAGTGCTCTCTGACATGGCAAGGGCTGGACTGCGCTTTCTAGAAACTGGTTGCATTATAATAACAAAATCCAAAACTAGTCTTGTCCCAAGACAGCATTCAGCAAAGTTTTAAGCCAAATTACCTGTTTAGGGTTTTAATAACATGTTCAAATAAAGACAAACCAATCAGTCTCTTGCAAACTTTTCTTTCGTTTTTTTTTTTTGCTTTGACCTGCTTCAAACAGGAAGCCATCGAGCAAGACTCCTATCTGCCCTCCAACCTTTTCCTGAAGCGAGGCAACGTTCAGGAGGTCCTCGAGAGCTGTGATCACATCCTTGAGGGAGAGGTGCGCACAGGTGCCCAGGAACACTTCTACTTGGAGACTACCAGCACGCTGGTCATCCCCGGCGAAGGGGGAGAGGTGGAAGTCATATCGTCAACCCAGGCATTGACAACAACTCAAGTAGGTTTCGTAGTGTATTCTCAGGGCTCAGAAGAAGCACTTTTTTATAGATTTCCACAACAATCGTCATTATGAATGATTACTCTTTTTAAACAAAATCCAAATAATAACTGAGAGCAAAAAAATATACATGACAATTTTCAAAACCTTTCTGCACTTTGACCATATTCACGGGTCGGCCATATTGAATTGAAAGTGAGGTAAAATCTTCATTTTTGGAACTTGTGAAAAGAATAAGCCTCTGTATACTGATGACGTCACACTTTGTTTACATGTGCACTTTCCTATGGAGCCAGTGGGGGCCCAAGGCCCACCAAGTACCATAGGAAAGCACACACGAAAACAAAGTGCAACGTCATCAGTACAGAGGCTTATTGAAAGTAATGAAATGAAGATAATTACACATTAATACCATTGTGCTCTGATGATTAAACTAATCTTGTGACGTCACTCTATTCAGTAAAGTGCTACAGTTAACTGTACATTCTTAAAAATAATCGACAGTAAACCGTTCATTCTTTAAAAAAAAATCGAAACAGAAAAAAAGACACAATCTACACAGAAATTGCTATTTTTATGTGTATTACAACTGCATGCATGGCAAAAAAATCAACTTTATCATTCTGGCTGGGCATCTAATGGTTGAGATTAACAGTGAGACCTATGCTGACAGTCTTTCCAGAGCTGCTCTCAGCAGTGCACTGTCTCTTTGCTGTTTCCACGCGCACTTAAGCCTGCTTTAGTTCCCCGCACGTGGCCCTGCTGACGGCTTTCTTCTGGTCCTCGCTGGTTCTCTTGTACGCCCGAATGGCGTTCGACCGGTGGCCTGTGGTTTCTGCGATGAGCTGCTCATCCAAGCCCTTGTTGTAGAGGCGAGATGCTACGGACGCTTGTAGGGTTGGGGTGGGGCAAATGTCCATACCCACCCTTGAAAAAATGATCAATCAGGAAATTGCTGGAAAAAAATAGGGATTTTGGGGGGAAAATGTGCTTTGCCTCCCTCCAGAAAAAAAAATCCTGGCGACGCCCATGAAAAAGGGTGCATTTGCACTTTAAAATATGTACATGTAATAGGTTTCAGAATATTGAATTTCAGTGGGAAATATATTTCATAGTTTTAGGAGCCCAGATGAGAAGGATTTTAAACTTTACAAGAGGCAGTGCACATGTATTTTACCTTCGCTAACTCATGTTGTCCCCTCAGTTGGCAGGAGTATCACACGTCAGTGTCGAGATTTGTCAGTGGCCGGAGGTAAAACGCTGGGGAGCACTTGGTAGACGTTGGTCGATGTTTGATGTAGGTCTCGTAGATGTTGACAATACATCGCGAGGGGTCATTCTGTTCGTAAGCATCGACAACTTTTGGCATGGTTGCACTCTCCTGTGGCGCAGCCCTCCTTGGCTGTTTTTCGAAACGCTTTCTGAATATCTCAGCAATCTGTTGCCATGACTGTCGGTGTGGAGAGACATTTGCAAGTTAACAAAGCGAAGTGAGCGATGCTCCTTTCCTGCTCGCAGAGCAAAATGCAGGCCGATCATGTACAGCACAGGGTCCACCAGTTTTTGGGGTGTGTCGGTGCCAAGGAGTCCTCTGTACCACAGCTCGGCCTCCTCGTCCTCAGAGATCACTTGTGCTGGCCTTCTTGGCGCCTTCTTACGGACAGACGACAGAGTGTTCTTGAGCGGCTTGAAAATCTCCTCATTAAGGAGCTTCATGCTTCTCCCCTTTGTTTCCAGATACAGCTGTAATGGAATGACAAGTTCGTACAAAGTTTCTGCTGGATAATCCTGTCTGTTCTCCTTCTTAGCTTCCATGACGAAGCGGCACAATGAGTAACATACAGTAAACTCCGGCTAAACCGACATCGTACAACTTGTCAAATCGATCAAGTCGGCCGTCTGACTAAAGTCCCGATTGTCCGTAATGCATTTCCATTCGATTTTTTATTTCTAAGTCGGCTTTTATAAGTCGCCACTTCGCTCAAGTCGTCGTGTTACTCTCGGTCCCCTTTCCATGAAAAGCATTATAAAATCCTTTGTGTAAGTCGGCATTCAACAAATCACGCATTGGCATCGACTTCCTGTATTGCGGTTGGCAAAGTGTCGCGTGAAAAGTGGTTTCGCACGGCCCGTGATCGTTGCATGCATCGGTGTTGAAAAAGGGTGTCCTACTGCATACCACTACGCGGCGCTAAAGGATCTTTGCTGCATACATCGCATATGCATCGCGAGCATATCAATACCAGTACCCCCTCTAGGCTGTACGCATGTGCTCTGTCCATTTTGGGGGTCGTCTTATTGAATGACGACTGCTGCAGTCAATCCCTGCGTGGTATATACCGCACCACGCACGCATTTAATTCATTACTGTGCACGTACATATGTATCGTGGTCTCCACTATCAATACCCCAAACGTGATGATACAATTCGAGGATTAATTTGCTGGATTCAACTCAAGCATTATAAGGAGATAATCCAGGATAAATCGAAGCCAATTAGTGCAATGAATCATGTGTGCAAAAGGCCATTCATGTAAGTCGGCAAAATGACGACTTACAGCAGATGTCGGCATTCGCGTAAGTCGTCACAAATTCTCGGGTCCCGAGAGTGCCAGTTTAGCCGGAGTTTACTGTAATTCATCTTTTGACATCTCGACCAGCTCAACACGTATCGCACTGATAATTTGGAGTTCATTACGGCCATTTTGTTTCTCTCCGCTTTCCACACATCGAAAAGCCGGGCGGCCTACGCACATTTCTTCTCGGTAGCTGGTGAAAACCTGTTCAAAATTCAAAAGCGGGGACGTTTATCAAAAGAGTAATACATTTTGAATACACCTCGTTTGGAGCTCTGGTTTGACATAATGAAACCATTCAGGTTTAACAAATTGTTAATCTTGAGTTTATTTTGAAAGCGGAATATAGTAATACACCGATGGCTAAATACTGAGCCAAGTAAGTAACTGAGAGCTAGGTAAGCCAAATTTTGAAAGGAAAACAATTGTTACCTTCTCTTGCCTATTTCCACCATTTCGATTTTCCACTCTGTCGTGCAGCAATGTCACATGCGCGTGTGTGAACAAATTTAATAAATAAACAAATTGCGCGATTTGTAAAGGCGCTCATTGAATTGTGGGCACCACAAAATCATGTATACGTGTGTAAATAAAATACAGGGAACACGATCAAAATGGTTTCCTCATGAAATGAGGCCCATTGCTGCAGTCAGTAGTTAAAATAATAGATGTTGGTATTCCTCAGGAAATTGTGGTGAAAGTGTCCATAGAAGTGTGTCATCATTTCAAACAATTCATATTTTCAATTGAAGTTAGAAAAATTACACAAAATTTAGGAAGGGTGAATAATAACTGACCCGTTCGATTTCTAAACATTGTGAGAAAACAGAGAAAACACCAGATTGATGTCAAATGCTTCATTTTTGCCACCGATTACGACCGTGCTGTTGAGTTTTACTATCAAAAATGACATGTAAATACAAAATATGCAATAGCTTAATAAACCTATTTTCTTTTCTGTGTTGAGTTGCTTCATAAAACATTGAAAATCGCTCCATTCCATTCTTCTAGAGCAAGTTGATGTGTAACTTTGTTAGTCGATTGCCTTTTTTTTTCTGAACACAGGACCTGGTAGCCAAAGCCCTTGGGATCCCCAATAACAGGGTTGTGTCTAAAGTCAAGAGGCTCGGCGGTGGCTTCGGTGGCAAGGAAACCAGGTGCTGTGTACATGCAGCAGCCTGTGCTGTGGCAGCCAACAAGTAAGTTTCTTCCATATTCTTTTCATGGAGGGTTTAGAAAAAGATTAATTATATTGCTGTCTGGATTTCTTCGTATTGGTGTCTTAAGCATAGGGTAACAAGGCCTGCACCCGATTTCACGAAACTCATCGTAACTTATGATGCATCGCGCAGCAATGCGATTCGTCGTATCCCTACAATGCGTCGCAGCTGCGGCGCGTCCTGCGATCCATTTCACAAAACACGTCGTAAGTGTGACGCGTCGTAGGTGTATTTATAGCACAACTCGGTGACTGTTTTATTATATTTTATATGTACAGTAAATAGTTGTCTGATATTCAACAAAGAGTCATCGGATCTCCGCTCAAAATTTGTTAAAATGTAAAACAAAATGGCGGCCATGTGATGCAATTTTAAAGGAAAACAAGCTCTCAGTGGACTGTGAAGCTTTTTTGAAATTTCAACTGCAATATTCCAGGCTAATTCATAATTATTCAATGCATTTTCTATTTATAACTTTACACACATTGCCTCGGTATTATAATCTCGTTTATGTAATGTTTTTGGCATTAAACTGGCTAGGAAAGGGACTCTTCTTATTTTGCGATGACCACTAGACACGTCGTAACTTGCGACGTGTTTAAAAGCCGTTGTCAAGGAACTTACGACGCGTTCAACTCATCGCATGTTTCATGAAATGGATTATAGGACGCGTCACGAGTTGCAACGTGTTACACGTCGTAACTCGAGTTGCAATGCGTCGCAGCGCTTCGTGAAATCGGGTGCAAAAAAAGAAAATACCTGAAATTCAGGAGCCAATTTCTTTGAACTGCTAAGCCCAGAAATTTACTAAGTACAACAATTATTCGCTCGGGGAAGTAGGCAAGACTATTTTATTCTGAATGTGCACAAAACCATAGCAGCTTCGCGTAAATGTATGTCTGTTGAGAGGGTACTTGTACACGGAGCCCATATTATGCACAGAAATTAAATGGAGGACTTCCAACACCATAAGCGTCATATTTCTTTCTTGGCTAATCATCAACCCTTACCTTAAGGTACACATGTACATGTATTTCGTCTAGAATCCTGCTCAATGCAACAACATACAACTGTTGTCAAAGTGAGAAGCCTGCCCTGTGAAACAAGGTCAAAACTTCTATGCCCGAACTGCTTAACCCTGCGAGCTGCGAAGCGTAAAAACTTACGCCGCGTAGCTGAGGTGCTCACGCGTGAGGCAGTTTTGATTTCGTGTATAAAATACTATTTTGTGGACACAGTCCTTTCTCTAATAGTCTAAATATTATGAATGCAGGTCCCCCGAACCCACACAAGATTGAATCCCCTCCAGTAGGTCACTCACAGACATTGTGGCTGCACAGTCATGTACATATACACTGCATGCGCTGTGACCATTACATGTTGGATTGACCATTACATGTTGGATCGACCATTACATGTTGGATCCCCCCAAAAAAGATGGACATGAAACAGTCGAGACAGCCTTTCTGTGGCTCTAGACAGCTGTCACTGGGCCAGCAGTAGAGGACGATTGATGACATTGTTGTGACGGCGGTATGTAAAACACAGAGAACTTTTTTTGTGCACAAGTGAATGGGCTTAGGCTGGAGGCCCAACTTTCCCAGGGGCGGCTGACCCCCAAGTGAACTCCTACAAGAAAAGCGACCATACCATCTCAAACCACAAGGTTCACTTTAGGATTACATGTAGTTTCAAGGGAATTGGGCGATAGCTTCATAAAAAAAAGTTAAGAAACAAAAAAGGGACAAGCGCGTGAGCCCCTGCGCAGCCCGAAGGGTTAAGAGTATGTGGTTGCCAACTGCAGCAGGACACAACTGTGGCATTGTTCAAGGGGGCTTAACTCCCACAGTCTCAACATCGGCAGTTAACCCTAACCCCCTAGGCCCTTGTTGCTTACAACCATCCTCAATCCTCCAAAATCCTCCAAAATTTTTCAACTCCGACTAAATTTTTCAAAATTGTCAGACAGTCCTGCCTCAAAATGCATTCATCCTCAATCCTCCAAAATCCTCCTCATCCCAAAACTTTGCACTCGTGTTTAAATGAAGGATAACCAATGCCAAATCCTTCAAAATCATCAGACAGTCCTGCCTCAAAATGCATTCATCCTCAATCCTCCAAAATCCTCTTGTGCTTCAATCACCATTCATCCTCAATCCTCCAAAATCCTCATGTGCTTCAATCACCATTCATCCTCAATCCTCCAGAATCCTCATTTGATTCAATCACCATTCATCCTCAATCCTCTAGAATCCTCCAAAACCGCCAGGAGGATTTTGGAGGAGTGAGGTGGGTTAGGGTTAATGCAGCAAGCTAGGTCCCATAGACTTCAGCACCTGTCGCGCCGTGTTGCATCAGTCAGGGTTTAATCAAAAGTCTTTTTGATCCCATCACAGAGTCAATCGTCCAGTGCGGTTGATGCTGGACCGAGACGAGGATATGAGCATGACGGGGACCCGCCATCCATTCCTAGGTCGCTACAAAGTGGGACTGGCTAAAGATGGCGAAATGAGGGCGCTTCAGATTGATCTGTACTCCAACTGTGGATTCTCCAATGATCTTTCCAATGCAGTGAGTTATTAATTGTTTCGGCAAATCTGCCGAAACATTTTTTGTTTTGGTTAAGATTTTTGGGGTTTTATTTCTTCGGTTTTTCCTTCTTCATAGGTTAACATGGTTAAAGGTGTATGTCTACATGTACAGAACTGTATGTCCAATTTGGTTGTAACTTGGTAGGTGCCTAAACCGGGATGTGTTTTAAATAAAAATTGAAGTGACGTCATGATGACATCATCACAAGTCATGTGACGTCACATTAAAGGGGCATTTTTCTAAGGGCTACCGGTATACCTATAGAACTATAGGTCCGATTGGGTTGTAGCTCGGTATGTACCTAAACTGGGACTCTCTGTTGTAGATGAAATTTAAAATGACGTCATACGTCATGATGATGTCATGACATGTCATAGCTGTGTTTGTCCATGTGACAAACACATTTCTAGTTTTGTTTTGTTATTTTAACAGAGAAGCAAGGCAAAAGAACTTGTTCAATAGATGTCCATATGATTAACATGCATGTATTCTGTAGAATTGTCCAAAGCCCTTGGGAGGAAAAACAGTTTCGCCAATTAAGAAAATAGTATGCAGCTATTTGAAATGGGACATGATTCATATGAGACGGTGTTTATGGGTTTCAAAGAATCGTCGGAGGTTCTGTTCGGCGCAGAGGGGAAACTTATGACATGTATTCATGTTTTTGGAACACATGGCATTATTAAAGACCATCACAAGTCAGTAGACCTTATACGTTAAAGGGCCTGCCACGTTATATGTGCTCTCATAGGAGACCTTACAGCGACCAATTTTTTTTCTCATAAATTGAACAATCGCAGCGAGGACGCAAGAAAATAACAACTTTCTGTCTCAAAGAAGCTCAAGCTACGCTCATACTGTGCTCTTCCCGCGCTTATGATGCGTTCAACTCGCTCTCTATGCGCCCCTGTCAAGCCCAATTACTCGATCTAGTCGCTGCCGCTCCGCTGTCACTGCGCCCACACTACGCTCTGCTCGCTGTTGATACGTCTTAGTAGCTCGCGTCGCGCTCTCTATTTGACCAATATACGCTCATGCGACGTCACTTGTGCTATATAAATACCACGACAAAACGGTCAATACACAGTCCAGTTTCAAAAATTATTATACAAGTTCATCGCAGTCAAGTTATACTTTCTCATAGAGACTTGCGCCTATAAGCTGCCTCAATGCCACTTCAATGTCGCACGATTCACGCTGGCACAGCGCCCAAGTTGCGTCATTACGGCGCCCTGGCCAGAGCGCAGAGGTGTTGCGATTGTTTTGAGCATGTTCAAAGACCTTTGGGCTCATCGGAGACCATTAATACTCTCTGGCGCCCATCTGGCGACCTATGTAGTTGTCGTTGCGATCAAGTAGTCGTTGTTGCACCCCAGCTATTTTTCAAGGACGCAGTGAGAGCGCATATAAGATCACAGACAGTGTGACAGGGCCTTAAGGCAGAGTTAGAGAGCAATGCTTTTGTATAAATACCACTTGGGTAGGCATGAGTAATCCATTTGCCCATTTGTTGTTACTAAATTGAAATAACAAAGAACACTGTCTGAGATACTGCAACGCATAAGGTCTTTCTGAAGTCCTTGAGTCCCAAGTCAAGTCACAAGCTATTCAGATGATCTGTGACAGCTAGCATTCCTTCATTATTGTCTATTCCAAGTGACTTGTGACAGAACATGTAAATTGATTTTTTTTTTTTTTTTTTAAGGTTATGGAGAGGGCAGTTTTTCACTCAGACAACTGCTACAACATCCCCAACTTCCAAGTCCGGGGCCACCTGTGCAAGACCAATCTGCCGTCTAACACGGCCTTCCGGGGGTTCGGAGGACCTCAGGGGCTGTTTGTCATGGAATCTATCCTGTCGGAGATTGCTGGTAGATACGGGATGTCAGAGTTGAAAGTGAGTTTTGAAATTGGAAAGACCTGATCCTAAGCTGCTGTTCACTGTATCACCCCCTGATACCCCTGAGAGCTTATATAATGGCTTGAACATCAAAGGGCATTAAAGGGAAGATACAACATTTGCAAACATCAAAAAATGAAAATGATCAAATTATCACAAAATACTTTACTGGATTGTTAGGGAAATCTAAATTTTCCTGTAAAATTATGGCTCCTGGTGTCCTGACAAAAGTTTATTTTTCCAATGCTGGTCGGCTGACCAGGGCCGACCAGCATTAGAGAAAACTGGCTTTTTTTTTTAAAACTGCTCCTAATTATATTCATATTTATTCCGCATTTTCTTTGCAATTGATTACACACCTGTGAAGGGGTGCAAGCCTGCTAGACTGATTCTCTGACCTTACAATTCCCCAAAGTCTACAAATTGCTCTGTTTCATCTTAAGTGGGGTCAGGGAACCAGACTACAATACCATAATTGGTTTTCTTGGTTTTTCCAGCATCTACAAGCCCAAAATGTGAAACAAGTCAGTTTAACAATATTTGCTATAACATACTAATCCTCCAAATCCATTTATTCCTGAAAATTGCAGCAAAAGCAAATGTTGTACATTCCCTTTAAATCTATTTATTCAAGGCGATTCCATAGTCAAAGAGTTAGGTTGCCTCCTACAGACCAATCCGGGCACGCTGTCGCTTCTACCGCGAAGGCCCCCTTCAATGGCGAGAGCATTGTGCTAGCTATTGTTCAGATAATCCATCATGGGGCAGTAGCTTTTCACAATAGCTTGCGCAATGCTTTCGCCATTTAAGGGGGGTCAAGTGCGTGTTCAGGGATCACGTGCCTGGATTTGCCTATACTCCCTCACACCCCACCCCCCCCACCCAACCCCCACCCCACCCCACACAATGTACTTGCTGATATTAAAAGAGAAAATATCGGGGGGGGGGGTGGTTAGGTCCTTTTCTTATCTTCTCCCATTTTCTTCCTTTTGTTTCCCTTCTCATGATTAAAGCAACTCTGCATATGTACTTTCTTTGTTATATTACATCAGAAACAGCCTTTGGCAATACTAATGGCAATGCTAACAAAAAGGGAAAAAAGCCAAATAACTGAGCGTCAGTGTTGTAATTTTAAAGTTAAATGCTCATGTCTTGCTAACTTTGCGGTGTAGATGCGTGAACGCTACTTCTATTGCGAGGGTGACATCACTCACTTTGGCCAAGAACTGAAACATTGGAATCTGAAGCGATGTTGGACAGAGTGCCTGACCAAGAGTGACTATGACAACCGCCGGCGAGACGTTGACCAATTCAACAGGTGAAGGAGTGATCAGATGAACCAGAAGGGTTTAACACCTCTAATTCCTTTGAAAACCAATGTGTTTATTTTGTATCTGAGAGGAACCAAAGTTAAACCAATCTGGTTATTTTGGTTCTTCTTGGAACCAATTCTCTGGAATCCTCAAATCCCATTTTTGTCAGTGTGCCTTTGACCATCATCTAGAGAATAACTGTATTTTTCAGAGATAGTCGCTACCTTTGCCCAACTTTCAAACTAGGCACCATTCTAGCTTAGCTTTAATGTTTTTCTCTTGTAATTCCCAGATGTTCATCTTGGCATGTTGCCTCCTTAGTTGTGAATTTGCAATCAACAAATTAATTCGGAAACTGACTTTGGGGCTGATTACTCGGCTGGTAGAGTACCAGAATGGTGGTGTTCCTGGGGCAGCCCAATCAAATCCCACCCCAGTTGATTTTTTCATACAGTGTATGCCCTGATTGCAACAACTAATAAACTTGGGGAAAAATATCTAAATTGGGTGATATTGGGCTGCCTTATGTATCTGTAATAGAGTTTAAATCCAGTCATCACAAGTCGGCCTATCTGAAGTCAAATGAAGTGTTACTAAGATTAACTGTCACAATTAACTGTTACTATTCATCTTTTGTTACTCGTGTCCAGTCTTGTAATAGGCCGATCCACTTAGCCCCGCCCCATGATGCTTTGACCAATCACAGGAGTGATTAATGTCTGACATGCTTGCACAATGGTCCGACATGCTTGCACAATGGTCCGACATGCTTGCACAATAGTCCGACATGCGTGCACAATGGTCCGACATGCTTGCACAATGGTCCGACATGCGTGCACAATGGTCCGACATGCGTGCACAATGGTCCGACATGCGTGCACAATGGTCCGACATGCGTGCACAATGGTCCGACATGCTTGCACAATGGTCCGACATGCTTGCACAATAGTCCGACATGCGTGCACAATGGTCCGACATGCTTGCACAATGGTCCGACATGCGTGCACAATGGTCCGACATGCGTGCACAATGGTCCGACATGCGTGCACAATGGTCCGACATGCCTGCACAATGGTCCGACATGCTTGCACAATGGTCCGACATGCTTGCACGTACATGTGACGCGCTGCCATGCGGGGCTGAACCATGCAGTGTGGAATTGCAGAGGTATTGCAGAGGTGCACTTGTTGTTGCCCATATGTGCAGTGGGTGATGGGGCCTAACGGTTCAGTCTATTGACTTTAAATATGTTCAATGTTTCATGTAAATCAAATTAGGTTTTGCCCTTCACCGACGTATAAACACTGTATACTCAGTGTGTTACCTCCTGAGTGAAAGTTGAAAAAAATCACTCGGGTGGGACTCAAACCCACGACCTCCTGCTTTCTAGTGCAGATGTCTTACCACTCGACCACCGAGGTAACAGGATCGGTTGGCTGGTTCAGATCTGATGTACATAGCAGCGGGTACCGCATTAACTATTGAAGGGCAAAACCTAATCTGATTTACATCACCCCGGTGCAAAAATCTCATCTTATAAATAATGTTTCATGGGTTTGTCTTTCAAGTGAGAATCGCTGGCGTAAGCGAGGGATCGCAGTCATTCCCACCAAGTATGGTATCGCCTTCACCTTCAAACCTCTGAATCAGGTGGGCTTAGTTCAGTGCTCCTTATAGTGCCATTATTCTTACAGTGTGAGTCAAAAAGAAAGTGACCCAGTAAGAAAAAATGTTAAAAAGATGGCTCGCTCCATTTATAAAAAAAAATTACATAGGAATAAAAAACAAGTCATTGACTACTAACTGTGAAAATTTCATGTAATTTGCATACTCCATTCACAAGTTATATCTATTTTAATAAAAATATCACAAAACTCAGTTGTCCACCACTGGTCATTTTACTGATACGCATTGATGAATACCCTTTAAATACAATGGAAAAACACATGCAATTCTCATTCCAGAAAATGTTTTGATTTATTCCTCATGTACACACACAAAATCTAAAAGTAAAAATGACTCAACTTTGGAGCATTATTGTTTGGCGTACCTTGAATAGAGAATGAAATAAAATATATCTTTAATATAGCTTCAAAGCATTTAGCGTTTCATGGACAGCTGTGAAAATGGTTTCTTTTAGTTAAACATGCATACCTTCTGATAGCAAGGATTCTGTGTTTTTTAAGATGAGTGGAAGAATATGCTTGTTATTCATTGGTCACTCTATCTCTTTTTGAATCACTGTATACTATTAAGCGCAAAAAGTGTGTGTGTTCACAAGTTGTTCACGAGTTGATCAGCCACAAAGTGGGCAACTTCACCCCCGCAAAGGAGGCAACCGTGCCCGCTTTGCGGCAAGGCAATTGCGCCATTTTTATAATGAAAGTGTGATTTTACAACTGTTAGATTTGAAAATGTCGCTGTCTTTTCTTTTATAAATCTTTCAAGTTATTGGGGTAATTATGCTAGTGGCTTTAAAGGACACATCTGGCTATGTTATCCCCCTTAAGTTTTTTTAAAGAGCATTACGAGGCAATGATTCCATTAAAAAAGAGTTTTGAACGCTGTGCTTGTTTTAGCTCAAGCTGAATTAAACATGGCCCGAGTCAGGTGTTGCGCTTGCTCGCTGCAGCATGCGTACACGTACACACAATGAAGTGGTACTCGAGTTAATATGGCACTTGTTTCACTTTGGACATGACGTTGATAAAGGAATTTAGGGCTCGGTTGTTATGACGTAGTCCAACTTGAGTCAAGTCTAACCTGAATTAGGAGGGTCCCACTCCTTTTTAAAAGTTGAAATAAAAAAATATGAATATGTGAACCAATTTTTGTTTGATGTCTCATTGGAAAGTTCATACTTTTTATAATGCTGAAAATGTCAATTCAATTTACAATTTATTTTTTAGGGCGCCACACCTCAAACGTGTGGGGACTTTGCTTTACTAATGAATGGAACTGAGTAAGAGCTTTTTATAGTGTAGTACAGGACTGGTTCTTAAAGGTGAATGTAATCAATTTTTTAAAAGCTTTGCACAAAAATATTAGTAATTTCACCATTATTTTGTAAAAGCTTATCACAAATTTGGGCCTATTCACTGTTAGGCCAAAAAAAATAAGTCTCCGGTTTCTGGTATGGAGCTTGTCCAAAAAGTGGTGCGGCGACGCGGCTTGTTTTTTTTTTACCTGACTTTTCTGCTTCAAATGTCGGCTGATGACTGCAAATGGTGCCCGACTAAACTTCGTGCAAATACATGGGAGTCCAGAGAGGCCACATAAAGCTCATTCTCGATCATAACCCCATCTAAAAACACGTTAAAATTGTGCAGCAGCAGGATTCCAGTCAAACCAGGGAGTTTGGCGGTTTTGAGACATCATCTTTCATTGAAAAAAAAAACTTTTTCATTTTACCGACGCGCATGGCTACGGCGACGCGCGCGCATACCAGAAACCGGAGACTTTTTTTTTTTGGCCTTAAGTAACAAGCAGTGTTGTAGTACTCGTACTCGGTACTCATACTCGATTACTACTCAAGTACTTTTTTTAGAGTACTCATACTCGTACTCGAATGTCAAAGTACTCATACTCGAAATGACGGTACTCGTACTCGGGCAGCAAAGTACTCGTACTCAACATGTCGAAAATGTACTCGATCATCAAAGTACTCGTACTCAAATATCAGCACTCGAAACAAATGGTATAGCTTGACTTAAACCACAGCCTTATTTTATTGATACTTTCAGTTTGAAATGTTTGATTGGCTTGCAGACAAATCAAAGTTTCCTGAATTTTCTCTGTGCATGTTCAGACAAACACTTTTAACAGCTAGCCGTGAGTGGGTCTGTATATCGGTCTGAGTGGGCCTGGGCTAATTATGCACAATGAACCATTTGTCGTATGGCCGTATTCGGAAAAAGAAGTACCAGTACTCGTACTCGGAATACAAGTACTCGTACTCGGTACCCTAAGTACTCGGCAGTACTCGGTACTTGGAAAAAAAGAACTCGACTGCAACACTGGTTACAAGTATTAAAATGAAGCCTTGTTTTTTTCTCACATAGGCCGGTGCCTTGGTACACATCTACACGGACGGTGCAGTGTTAATCAGTCACAGCGGTGTGGAGATGGGTCAAGGGTTACACACCAAGATGATCCAGGTGGCAAGTCGGGCGTTGAGAATCCCTCAAGAGAAGATCCACATCCTGGAGACCAATACAGCGATGGTGCCCAACACTTCCCCAACTGCTGCCAGCTCTGGCTCTGACCTCAACGGAATGGCTATCAAGGTGAGGATATGCTCATTGTTCAGTTGCGTATTAGATGAGAGGATGTTTTGGGGCTTGGACCGTCACCCTAAAAAAGTAATAAATAAAAATGTAAAGCAAATTTTGGAATGTGGCCTATAAAACAAGAGTGTGTGCATATGTTGAGTGTGTGTGTTGTGAATGATCTGATACACTGTACCCTCTGGAGACGTGTGTTCAATAGGGAACAAAAGATTGTATACATCTCCACAGGGCAATTTCTATAGATGAATATGTCTCCACAAGGTTTTCATGAAATAGATATATGGATTTCACTCAAAAACTAGGAATTTCCAAGCTATGTTGATCTCTCGCAAATGGAAGAGTTTTAGAAAAGGGAAATTAAGTCCAAATTTCAGCTAAGGAAATTAATTCTGGTTAATAAAATAAGAGCATTTTTAAACTACACTTTCAAACTCGAAAATTTTAGTACACGAGAACAAAGGAGTGTCTCCACAAGGATACAAATTCCAGTATGTGTGTGTGTGTCATGAATAGTGCCACTCGTGTGCCAAATGACATCTACTCCCACCCACCCACACAAGTGTGTAAGCCTACAATCGGGGACCCCCTATTGTCCCTCTTTTGTTTCTACTTTAACTTTTTAAGAAGACCTCCCATATGTTTTGTACACGAATCCAAATTGGGGACATCTCGGGAACTAGTACCCTATTGTCTTCTATTGTTCGAACACAGAAACAGACTCACCCACCCACCCATCCACACACCCAACCACCACCACCTCCACCACCAGGCTTATGGATGTTCTAAACATGGGCAGATAATGCCAATATTTAATGGCAAACGATCCTTCTTAAAATGTTCCTGTTACACTTCTGTCTATGTATGTCCTGATCTACATGGCACCAGAATTGGCCGAGTGTGAAAGGAATGACTTTATCAACAGCAAAACATGCTCTTCAATGTGTTCTGCTTTTCACTTATTCCCAGGCTATATTATGCTCATCACAAAAATTTGCTCAGCACTATTTTTCACTTGTCAAGCAGTGTAACCTGTTTCGTCAAGTGAAAATTTCAGGTGATCAGCAATTTTAGCAACTCTTTGTTATTTGGTTCTCTGACCACACACTACACCCCCTTTTTCCAAGTAGGAAACTACTGAACTAATCTTGATACCTTGCAATCAATGAATATATGTTTGTTTTCCCAAGGCTGCTTGCGAAACACTGTTGCAGAACTTGGAACCATTCGTGCGCGACAACCCCAAAGGAACCTGGGAAGAGTGGGTGAGCACATGTCAACAATTGTCTCTTTTGATTGTTTTATCAATATCAAGCCCTGAACAGTTCCTTCCATTGTAATTGTTGTGTTACTTCTTTTACTTTTGAAACACTGTACCAGCACAGTATTCTAGAGGCTGCAGGTTTGAATCTCCCTCAAGTCTCACTTTTTAAATAATTTGACCTCTTTGTTATTTTTATTTATGAAGTTCCGTTTAAAGGCAGAGTAGATCATTTGTCATTTGTGCATTTGTTTCGTTTGAAGCAACAAAGGAAAAGTTCACGCAAGAACTGTTGTTGACCATTGGTTAACCATAGTTCGACTAAAGTTAGCCGGAACTCTGTCTAGTCGAATGATGGTTGACTACGCTAGTCGACTATTTGGAACCAACCTACTGGGGCTGGTTACATGGCTGGTAACCAATAGCCGCACGCATTCATAACGTACAGCAGGGAGCCAGGATCCAGACGTTTTGCGATGACATTTTGACCGGCATTTGACTAGAGACGTTCGCACATTGCTATTAGTGCGCCGGCGTATGGTACGTCACAAATCAACCACTAGTCAACTAATGGTCCTTGCCCGAACTTGGCCAAAAGTGCTCAAAATCTAGAGCCGGGTTCTTAGAGCACTGAATCGACGAATAATAGCAACCACGCTTGGTGTTCTGTCAATGCTTGCGCGCACCCATTCACGGATTCGCACAATTACAACCCAACTAACAGAAATTTCTAAAAATTTGTCACTTGACTCATCTTTGAAAATGACCTATTATTGTTTTCTTCAAAATGACAGCATGCCAGAGGGAATTATTTCACAGGGAGTGCCATTACTATCTTTAAACCAAGTACAAACTTTTTAACAGTAATTTGGTCAGTTACTTTTTGGATAGCTGCAAATGATCTACTCTACCTGTAAGAAACTTTGTCAATCAATGCCTTGTTTCAGGTGAAAGCCGCCTACATGAATCGTGTCAGCCTTTCTACCACTGGATTCTACTCGTGAGTCAACCACTTTTTTCTTCTTCTTTTTCTCTGTGATAAAGATGCTGTCTCGTTGATTAACATATTGTTTTTAACTTCTGGATTATTTTCCAAAGTACATATTCTCATTTATGTCAGCTGGTTAACCCATTCAGTAAAATTTCAACAACAACTGGTTTGTTACAGAGACAAAGACAGATTTGACATTCACATTTGAACTACAGCCTGTCTCAAAAAAATGGTACAATCAGAAAAAAAATTGGTTAAATATGAAATTTCAAAATAAGTCATTCTTACTTGGCATAATATTAAAGAACAAAGACTGGGCTTTCCAATAGTGTTTGTTTGATCTTATTTGCTTTTGTCAATTCAGAGATATAATCAATTTAGTGCAATACACCAAAATCGATTTTGTGCCACTTTTATGCATGGGCAGAGTTGTTTCGAGTGCTGTGCCATGCTGTCTTGAAGCTCACAAAAGATTGCAACTTGGCCAAAAAAAAAACTCGATTTTTGTGTTCCGCAGTAACTGGAGTTATCTCTGGATTGACAAAAGCAAATGAGATGAAACAAAAAGTACTGGAAAGCCTGGTCTTTTTTCTTTAATGTGATGCTCAAAACGACTTACTTATGTTGAGATTTAATATTGAAAAAAAAAATTGTTTTCGATTGTACCATTTTTTTTTGAGACAGGCTGTACATGTATAAAAAGTAGAACACAGAAGATGACTTTGTAGAAAACAAGATTTGAACAAAATCACGTTCACAGAGAAATAAATTATGTACCAAACATGTAATGCCTTTTTTAATGTAGTTTCTCCCTTCTCATAGTACACATAGTAACTGCATGGAAAACAAGATATGTATCAATAAGATACTCTCACAAGCAAATCAGGTTATCGTTGAAGTTCCTTCTCCTATTTTTCCTATTGAAGAAGTCATTGTAAAGGTTTGCACGCGAATGCTCCAGTTAACCTTAGCATGAAAAAGGAATGATGTTTAGTGTATCATGTATCCATATCACGTAACACGTACATGTATCTTTAATCACGCAATCACGGTTTCATCTACTTAAAACAGACAATAACAAATACCAATCAAGATTGATAAAATAGAACAATGTAACATGTGTCAAAGTCAGTTGTAAATAAGCTGGCATATGTGTGAGTCCCGAATGTACATGTATCCAAATTACTGCACAAAATGTGTATTACATGTGTGGGCTCCATATAATGTTGTGTATTAAAGCCTATGATGCATATTTTCTCATGTCACTTTTACACAAATTTTCCCCAATAAATTAACACCAAAATAACGTAATTATCTACAAAATAACCTAATGACCTTGTTCTTTAAATGTTTTACAGTCATTTTTTTTTAAATGTTGGTTTCGAAAAATGACGACCTCGGGCTGTCCTTTAGGAACATATTTCCTGACAAAACATGTGACGCTGACGTGAAAGTTGACATTATCTTAACGTTTTGACATAACTGATTTACTAATGGTGGTAAGCAACATCGCCCTCTTTCGACAAAAGAATACATATACAAAAGAAAAGTTCACCTAATTAACTTAATACAAAAATGAAGCATTCTGACCTAACAAAATCTTTTGCTTTGTCCACTTGTAGGACTCCCAACTTGTACTTTGATTGGCAAACCGGCAACGGCAAGCCATTCAATTATTTCTGCCACGGCGTCGCAGTCTCGGAGGTTGAGATCGATTGTCTGACTGGGGATCACCAAGTACTGAGGACAGATATTGTCATGGATGTGGGAGACAGTATCAACCCAGCCATCGATATCGGTCAGGTAGGCTTCACAAAATTCCACTTTTTCATCATTCCAATAAGTTTAAAATTAACCCCAAAAAATATGAATTGTACAGACCATACAGGGTGAGTCAAAAAGAAAGTGACCGAATTAGAAAAAAAATAATCAAAAGATATGCGGCATTTTCCACCTGATAGGAAATACCATAGGAATTAATGTGACCAGCTCAACAAAAAAAGGGTATTATGTTAATTGAGTTATATATGTGGCTGGCAAGCCCACAATGTAAGCTTTCATTTGGTATATGATAGAGCCCCATAGCTCCTGCTGTTTTGGAGATATGACGTATTTACATATTAATTACTTCCTTGGAGTTCAAATTACACAACTGAGAAAACAGGCTTTGAAATAGCTGGCTTTGTTGTAGAACAACAGAACAATGCACACAAAATGGTTGTTTTTCCCTTTTTATTCATCAAAATCCACATTTTCGTGAATGAAACCTGAAACTTTAGGCATTAAAGATGTCATTCATAACAAAAATATAATATCACATTTTGACGAAATTTTCACCCTCTCAATGTTGAGCAGGCCATTACACAATAATGCTCAGTGCGACTTAATACTCTTTTTGGTGGAGCCGGTCACATATTATTGACTACTAAATGTGACATTTTTACATAATTTGCATACTCTGATGTCAGGAACCGGTTTCAGATTATGGAATCGTGTACTCGTAACCAACTTTACGTATTACTGAGTAACTTCTCAGACAGTGAAAAAGAAAGTTTTTGAATGCCATTCATGGAGCATTTTCAAAATGAAAACAGGGCTTCGTGTGAAAGCAAAACATAATTCACATTTATAACGTTCTTGAAAGTTGCACTTTACACATGAAAGCTATGCTCCCTGTTCACACTTGTATCTTGTTGCATTGACACACCGATGTGGTAGTATTATTTTGCGGACCTTTGTGAACTATCTGAACATCTTCCGAGATTTGAATTTTGGACTTGGGGCTTCTTTAACGGGTACCTGTGGTTTTGTATTTTTAAGCGTGTACCTTGTTCCCATTTTACCCATAAGGGCAATTCCATGGTTACTCACGTTACATTTTTGATGTACTTTTGAGTTTCCTTGGGCTGTAATTACCTTACCTTACACAAAATTGGTTACTCACGTTACGAAAATGTAACCTGAGTAACCGATTTTGTGCATCTTGTTTATCATACATAACACATTTTTCTGGATGTCATCTTTGGTGCTTAGGTAGATCTAGGTCTACTCTATCTACCAAGGGGATAACAGTTATTAACCCTCCGACGCAGAAAGCACATTTACTAACACGCTTACAGTAAGGGGTCCCTCCGGGGACCCAGATATTTAGCGCCTTGGTTTGAGGCTACACAACACAGTATCTATATGTATACAATCTCGACATGTCTGTAGACTATAAATAAGGAGGTCATTGACAGGAAACAGATGTTGTATACATAGTCTGTGGTCAAGTCGTGCACTTGGCTACCCCCCAAGTGACTTTGTTTTGTGCACGTGTATATGGGCAGCCCAGGTTGTCAGGCTCAGATATGCCTGACCCGGGGTCACACACTAAAGGTGACTGCATATATCCGTAGTGGGTGTCTCTGGCTAGGATTAGATGGAAGATCACCAGAATTGGTTGGAAATTTTTTTTTTATTAAGGTAATTAACCAAATTGGGTCCCCAAAAGGGCTAGTTTCTGCGTCGGAGGGTTAAACCTTTTCAGTAAGGTAATTACAGCCCAAGGAAACTCAAAAGTACATCAAAAATGTAACGCGAGTAACCGTGGAATTGCCCATGCACGACCCTATTTTACTTCAGTGTATTGAGTTCCATACAAAGTGCAACAATTTTTATTAGTCATGTGAAGCCCAGGCTAATAGGCTTTACCTACTGACTGAAAAATATACAGCACGTAAGTGCAATGTGTACAGCAAAGTCTGGCATTGACGGACTCAAATGTTTCATTTTTTCCATTGGTAGATTGAGGGTGCTTTCATTCAGGGCTATGGGCTATTCGTCCTGGAGGATTACCGAGTGACCCCAACCGGTCAACTGCTGACTAAAGGGCCTGGTTTCTACAAGATCCCAGGGTTTGGCGACATCCCGTCAGAGTTCAACGTCAGTCTGCTCACCAGGGCACCTAATCCGTTTGCCGTCTGCTCCTCTAAGGTTGGTTGATATCAGTTCCGTAGTTCTTACCATTGTTCGTCTGTATATGCCAAAGCTTTCATAAAGTCTGTAGACATTGCATGAATTCTGCATTTAATAGGCACTATGGGGAAGAGTAACTTGATTTCCATCATTTCTCTCGTTTTATCATTGATTTGCTGTATGTGCTTAACTTCAATTATATAGTCTGTAGAGGACGCAAGAAAATGACAATTTTCTGTCTTAAGTGGCCAGAAAGTAGCTCAAGCTACGCTCATACTGTGCTCATCTTGCGCTAACGATGCGCTCATCTCGCTCTCTATGCGCCCCTGTCAAGCTCAGTTACTCGATCTAGTTGCCGCCGCTGCGCTGTCACTGCGCTCACACTACGCTCTGCTCGCTGTTGATACGTCTTAGTAGCTTGCGTCGCGCTCTCTATCCGACGAAAATAGGCTCACGTGACGTCACTTGCGCAGTATAATTACCACGACAAAACGGTCGATCCGCAGTCCAGTTTCAAATTTATTCTACAAATTCATCGCAGTCCAGTTACTTTTTCATGGCGACTACATCGACTACCTTGCGCCTAGGCTGCGTCAATGCCAAGTCAATGTCGCACGATTCACGCTCGCACAGTGCCCAAGTTGCGTCATTACGGCGCCCTGGCCAGAGTGCAGAGAGGTTCCGATTGTTTTGAGCATGGTCAAAGACTTTGGTGCTCATCGGAGACCATTAAGACCCTCTGACACCCATCTGGCGACCTATGTACATGTAGTTGTCGCTGCGATCTAGTAGTTGTTGTTGCACCCCAGCCATTTTTCAAGGACGCAGTGGGAGCACATGTATGATTGCAGACAGTGTGACAGGGCCATAGTATTTGTCCACAGACTCTGCAGTCGGTCAGTGATTAAGCTTGCTATATTATCACCCCATTTTCTGACATATTTTCTCATTTTCTGTTATTGAGGGTTAAAAAAAATGCTCTGTAAAGTTGGCTTGATAACTTCTTTAAATCCTAATTGCTTTCTTATTTAAATTTGAGCATTTTCAGTTAATTTGATAGTTTAGATAACATACATCATGTTCTAATCAAGTTGCCGGTCTTACATTTTCTTGCATGCAGGCGATTGGTGAACCACCCTTGTTCCTGGCAGCATCAGTTTTCTTTGCCATCAAGGATGCCATCCAGTCAGCCAGGGATGATGCAGGTGTTCCTGGGACCTTAAAGCTGGACAGTCCAGCCACGGCCGAGAGGATCCGCATGGCCTGCCAAGACCAATTTACCAAACAGGTAATGGAGATTTTCTTCATTTACTCATTTACCAATAACCCTCCTTATTTAATAAGTTCAAGGCACTTGAGTTCATATATATAGGTCATATGAAGCAGAATTCTTGTAATACAGTAAACTCCGGCCAAGTCGGCACTCTCGGGACCCGAGAAATTGTGACGGCTTACGCGAATGCCGACATCTGCTGTAAATCGTCATTTTGACGACTTTTATGAATGGCCTTTTGCACACATGATTCATTGCACTAATTGGCTTCGATTTACCCTGGTTCATTTCCTTTATGCTTGAGTTGAATCCGGCAAATTAATCCTCGAATTGAATCATCACATTTGGGGTATTGATAGTGGAGACCACGATACATATGTACGTGCATAGTAACAAATTGAATGCGTGCGTGGTCTGGTATATACCACGAACGCATTGACTGCAGCACTAGTCATTCATAAGACGACTGACGACCCCCAAAATGGACAGAGCGCATGCGTATAGACTAGAGGAGGTACTGGTATTGATATGCTCACGATGCATATGCGATGTATGCAGTAGGACACCCTTTTCGACAACGATACATACAGCGATCACGGGCCGTGCCAAACCACTTTTCACTCGACACTTCTTGGAAACCGCAGTACAGAAAGTCGATGCCAATGCGTGATTTGTTCAATGCCCACTTAGGCAAAGGATTTTGTCATGCTTTTTATGGAAACGGGACCGAGAGTAACACAACGACTTGAGCGAAATGGCGACTTATAAAAGCCGACTTAGAAATAAAAAATTCAATGGAAATGCATTACGGACAATCGGGACTGTATTCAGACGGCCGACTTGAACGATTTGACGAGTTGTACGATGTTGGTTTAGCCGGAGTTTACTGTACTACTACAAGTCACAAGTCCATCAAAAGTCAAATCACAAGTCCATCTCAAGTCAAATCACAAGTCCATCTCAAGTCAAATTTCAAGGCCGGCCTCCTGTAATACAATGATAAATCAAGGAATGTTTTTTTTTTCTTCATTTACTTGACTAGCTTGTGACTTGACTTAAGACTGAATGACTTGTACTTAATTTGGGATTGACCGACTTGTTACAGACATATGACAGACTTGTGACAGACTTGTGAGGACTTGATATACATGTACATGTATGACTACAACTCTGGCAAGAAGAGAGAAATCTATAAGGCAAAAGAAAAAGTTTCCGGTTTCTGGTCTGCGTCCGCGTAGCTGTAGCTTTGGCGTCAGCCAAATTAAAAGGTTTTTTTTTTTCAATATAAGATGATGTCTCAAAACTGCCAAACTCACTGGTTTGACTGGAATCCTGCTGCTGCACAATTTTAGAGTTTTTTTAGATGGGGTTACAATCGAGTATAAGCTTTATGTGGCCTCTCTCAGCTCCCATATTTTTGCAGTAAATGGGTGCAGAATTCTCAAGCCTTATGGCCTCACTGAGGTCACCTCAAGCTCCACTCAGAAGGATATTTTTGAGAGTTTTAAGGGATGGAAGCGACATGTGCAACATCAGCTGACATTAGAAGAAAAAAAAAGTAGGGGAAAAAAAAACTCGTCGCCGCATTACTTTTAAGGCAAGCTCCATACCAGAAACCGGAGACTTTTTTTGGCCTCAGTGTGAGTTAGTCCGTCAGACATCGAACACTGATGTACATAACCCAAGTTGAAAACCTGAACTATCCAATGCACATGGGCGCTTAATGGGTATTGAAGAAGGGCCCATGAACTTCAAAGTGTAAGCACTTGTTACAATCAGGAACCAGTAGTGACATACGTATTATGCCTAATACTAAATTGGGGGGAAAAGCTCTGAAGCAAATATACTTTTCTGGGCTTTTTCAGTTCAAAACAGCGACATGTACATCTTTTATCAAGGTAGCTAACATACTGGATCTAAGTTACAATGTTCACAGGTGCATAATAATGTCCACCTAAATAAGTTCCTAAAGAATATACTTTTTATTTTGTTTTTCTCCAGTTTCCTCCGCCAGAGCCTGGAACATACACACCCTTCTTTGTGCGTCCATAGTAGCGAAGTGCCTTCAGATCCAATTCAAATTGGAGACTTTTTCCCTTGATTCAATGTCAAATGAAGCAATTCAGGTTATGTAAAAAAAAACAGGCTCAGCTACTTAAATATCACCATACAGGGTGAGTCAAACAAAGCGGAACCCAAACCCCAAAAATTATATTTCATATTTACAAAAATATGTTGCACCAAAAATAATAACGACTGGAAAGCCAATTTCATGAGGTACTTTTAGATGAAAAAAATGACTGAAATTGGTCAATCCGTTCGGAAAATATCACCATTTAAACACAATGACCCTAGAACCCCTCTCGTCCAAAAAAATGCGATTTCAAGAATCGTTGTCGCAATTGTCTTTAAACATCACCAGCGATAAAATCTCAGTTTAAACGTTAAAAATATTCAACAGAATCCCTTTGGAGACCCGTCCTTTACAAAAAGTACATTTTTATAAATCATGTTGTTTGCCTAACCTGGGTTGTTAATAAAGATATTGTGTTTTACATTTGGTGACAGTTGTTAAAACAAGTATTATGTGTCATTTTCTTTGTTGTTTAAAACACACAATGAATTGCTTTTTTGGACGAGACAGGTTTTAGGGTCATTGCGTTTAAATGGTGATATTCTTTGAACGGATTGAGCAATTACAGTAATTTTTTCATCTAAAAGTAGCTTATGAAATTACCTTTTCAGTCATTATTATTTTTGGCGCTACATATTTTTTAAAATATGAAATATATTTTATTGGGTTTGGGTTCCGCTTTTTTTGACTCACCCTATAGTATGTTTCTGCCCCATGTGCCTTAAAACAGTTGACCGTGCACAATCAAATCAATGGTGTATTAAACTGGGGTCAAGTTTGCAGGATGGCACGTAGGGGGGCCTCATTTTTTTACATGCATTTTTCAAAATAAATCAGTCCTTTTGCCTTCCCCTAGTTTGGACGGGGGAGGGGGACCTCAAGTATGCAAGGGGGTGGATGAGAACACCCCCACCCGACTGCGGCAGTATATCAAATAATAACCATGCATTTTCTCAGTGAAATGGTGCAGTCAATATTGTTTGTTACGAGAGCAGAAAGAATGTAGTAAGACTCGGGTACATTTATGTTCTGTTTTTCCTCACTTTGGGTTATTATTAATCTACCTTGGGATTCGGATAACTGTGCTATACAAAAGTTTTCACTGCGATTTAGAGGGGGGGGGGGAATGGTGGTAAACATGAGGGTGCATTTTTAAATTATATTCACCTCTATAAGAAACTCACTATTATTTGTTTTTTTATTAAATATTTCACAGGGCTTTTTCATTGTAGAAACAGTTTTTGTGTTATAATCTTTAAAAAGTTTCCCATTTTTTTGTTTTGTTTTGATGATTCTCTTTAAAGGTAAAATATATATATAAAAAAAAAAGCAAAAAATAAATAAAAGAGTTTTACGGTCGGGCAGTTCTATCATTATGAAAGGAAGTGTAATGTCCTTGACAGCCAATTAAATAATGAGACATGATCCACAACTCCTGGTTTGTAATCTCCTTGACCATTACTAGATGTTGGATGTATAAGATTTGTAAAATATATTTTCAGGTTTATTCACGGACCTGTCCAAAGCCCAGTCACGGACATAACATGATGCTAGAAATGCCCATTTGTGTAAACAAAAGAGAGTTTCCCCATTACATATGCACAAAATATGTTTTTGAGTTTTAAATTCACTTTTTTTAAAATTAATATAGCCCTTTAATTTGTTTAACCATTCTGCAAGTATAGAAAAATTAGAGTTACTTTTCCATACTTGCATTCATTTATTAATTTTTAAATATAGCTGGTAGCCCATAAAACTATTTAATTGAAAAGTGGGTTTGTACTCATTCTTTTATTTTGAAAAATTCTAGTATTTAGAGAGGTTTCGCTTCTGAACGGATATGTTTAGCTAGCCGTAACCGTTATAGACTACCGAAGTGAATACATCAGGCGCACAAAAATGTGTGTAAAAGGCATTAGGGCGTGATTCAGCCCGTGAACCAACACGTGCGCACTCCATTCGTTTGCACTACACTTTCTGGTTCTAAATGACGTCACACTTCGGTACTCTATTGACCGTTCCATTGTTTTCGCACCATGTACGCATATGCATACACTTAGTTATCAGAACCCTTACCAATAAAAGCAGTATCTAAAATGACAGCCTCCGATGAAAACCTTGTTTCTGCGACTAATCCTGTTTTTGAAACACAGACAAATGGCACATTATGTTGAGCAATTTATCCCCTTTCAAGCAAATCAAACCCGATTAAACAAATATCCGTTCACTTGTGAAAACTCCCATTTGTATATCAGTCACTGCCAATATTGCAGGTTTGGAATTTAGTTTAGCAAATTTTAAGAGGGTTTTGTTGAATTAGAGATAGTAGTTTTACATTTTACGAAAAAAAAATAATATAACTGAATATGTTGTAAAAATATTAAAATGTACTGATGAAGAAAGCCCTACAAAAAAAAAATAATTTTAATTATTGACAACAAAAATTGTATTAACACTTGATCATCTAGATCTTTCGGTATTACATGTATGTGAAAAGGTATTTGTATCAAAAAGATTAATCGAAAGTTTACTCAGAATATATAGGCATATGTATAACAAATTAAGTTGAATAAAAAGGCATTTATTAATAGACTCATTTGCTATTGTTTGATTGCTGTGCACCAAAGTTGTTTTGATGGTTTTTTTTTTCATATGATAAAGAGTATTGTTATCTAATGTTTTACACCATACATTGGGGGTAACAACAATCAAAATGCTAAATCATAGAGCTAAATTACGAACACATGTACAATCTTCAAAATCATAATTGAACTTGTTAACAGCCATTTGGTGTGTGATGCAATGTTCATCTAAATTTTTCAATGGTCGCTAGTGGTCCTCATTTTATGAACGTAATCGTTTGTAATACAATGTAGTTGTACCTTAAAGATGAAATTGATTGTTTATGCCAAATAAAAAAAAATGTTTAGCATCCTCGCCAGCTTCCTTTTCGGAGGCCGCCTCCTTTTTTCTTTTTCTTTTAACACAAAAAGAATGATAAAATTCAAACAGTGACATCATTTTGGCCTCTTTGTCCGTTGCATCTAGCCCCCCCCCCCCCCCCCCCCCCCCCCCCTAATGGTAAGTCATTCCTGAGTCTAAGTGGCGGATATAAATTTAAAAAAAGCTGGCGGCCATCTTGAAAAAAAGCCCGGTTGTGCGGCCATTTTGAAAAGAAAAAAAAGGGGGCTCCTCCCTTTTTTTTCAAAAAGGCAGGACGCTAAACAGGTTTTTTTTTATTAACATGTATTTGGCCTGATTGTCTTTTTTTCACATATCTGTCAGTGAAGTTATGTCATTTGCGTTTGTTCTTCATAATAAGGTCCAGGTTTCACAAGATTTAAAGTGTTTTGAAGTGTGTAGCCTGCATGGTATTCAAGATGTTTTAATTGAAAGAAAATAACTTGTATATTGATATACAGCACGTGTTATGCTTCCATAATAAAACTTTATTTTTCGATCTATCAGAAATTCTTTTGGGCAGAAATGCTAAACTTAACTTTAACGAAATCACTTTGAAAACGGCGGGTTACAAAGTTGTATGAAGTATTTTTGATAAACCCATTGTTTTTAACATTGTATGACTTTTACAGAACATAGTCCTTATTTGTTTGATTTTTTTTTCAAAAAATAAAAATCAACTGAGAATTTACTGTTCCTCTTAACAACCGAGAGAATAAAGGTGAATCACCAAAGTATAAAATCTATTTGCATTTAGCCAAGACTTTGTCTACTACAATTAAACCGTAAAGATATTACAGTATCTATAGGGTTTGTATTATTGGCAAACTTTTGGGGGTGGGGGTCATAGCTGTTTTCACTTAATACCTTGCTATGACCAACCAAGATGCTCAGATGGCTACAAATACGTTTATCCTCTCAGGTCTCGAGTTCAAAATGGTTAAATGTTGTTGAGATGGTTTGGGGGAGACAAAATAGAAGAACATTGAATTTTCTGTCTCCGCTTTGTGATTGGCTGGTTATGACATGTCCAAGTTTTGGGATACTGGTACATGTACTTTGTCACTTCAAAAGTAGTCATTTTTAATCCTATTCACACAAAAAACTTACCTCATGTAAGGGAATAATGAAAGGTTTGCGGAAACACCATGTGCGAATAATTTCTAAACTAAGAGAATGGTTCTGAAAAGAGCCAGAGGTATAAACTCGACGTTCCGGTCAGTATGCTCTGACCGTCTTCAGGAGAGTGCCTAAACTCTAAGAAAGTGAATACTTAAGTAGCAAAAGGCGAAGTCAATGAAGTGTGAAGTGGCATCCTGTGAGGATGCCAAGTAGACAGGATCCTAGAACAAGCTTTTTGATAAATATGATAAAGTATTTTTGATAAATCCATTGTTTTTAACACTGTATGACTTTTACAGGACATAGTTCTTATTTTTTTGATTTTTTTTTCAAAAAATAAAAAGGGATTTTCACTGTACCTATTTGTGCATGTCCTAATCCTGATACAAGCAACACGACACATATTATGAGACGAGTACAAACTAATTTGATGGCAATACCTTTTATTTTCCACCTGAACAGGTATCTTATCCTTTTTAGTCCTATTTTAAACCCTTTCAACATCATAAGATGTTAAAATACTATCAAGTTAGCGTTGATGTATCCGGCAGGACATCATTACTGGACCAAGCCCAGTCTAAAGAGGCTTTCTTAGCTGTTGGTAGCTTTCCAGCACTTAACTGGCGCATCACTCATCACTCAAATTCTGATGGGAGGCAGGCTGGCTCTAAACAACAGACGCATATACATTGGGGATAGCCTGAGTGCTTATCAAGAACATATTTATGGTCATCAACTGATTAAATAGCCATTATCTTAGTAGGGGGCTCATGAATACGAACCCGGGATTCACGGGTCATGAATACGAACCCGGGATTCACGGGTTCGCGAAAGCCACATTAGACTGGGCTTGGTCCAGTAATGATTTTGCTGACTTAACCAATGGAGATGAGAGGGAGCTCCCGTTCGTTTGTTTTAAA